GAGTCAAGTCATCTAACATTGAATTGTAAATTTAATTGCAGGCAGCTACGATCTGTGCACTCACTACACTATGGCCGCTGCGAACTCGACCAGATTAGACGCCGAAGCAAAAGAATTGATGAAATTGCTGATCAACCATAAATACATACGCAACATGATAAAACAATTGGGACCTGAAATTTGCTATGAGATAGGACAATATCTTGAACTGATTATGAAATGTAAATCGAAGGAAAGAATCGATGAGGCTTCAGAACAATTCGACGATTTTTGTGATAAATTATCGTTTCAAGACGCGGCCACTAAGCGACATTTCTTGAATGTGAAATTCTTGCTTGAACTATCAAAACATGATCCTGGCACTAATGTTTTTGTCGAATGTTACAAGAAGCTTAACACGAAAATTGTTCCACTTGATAGAAATTCGAAGAAATTTAGGTTGCTGTGTCAAATTGTGCGCAATACAAATGGACTCACGCATGATATTGAACTTGAAGTTCAGCAAATATACAAGCTTGAGCGCGGAGAAAAGGTTGAACGTTTCCCAAATCCATATAGCGACCTGAGAGGTCGTCGGCTCCTTTGACACGGTACACGTTTAACGAACATTGCATCAATTTTAAGGTTTGGCTTACAAGTACCCCAAGAAGGAGAATCACCTGGCTCCATGTTTGGCAATGGCATCTATTTTGCTTATGTTGTATCTAAATCAGCAGATTATTGCCGCGCTGAGGATTCGAATAATATTGGCCTCATGTTATTGTGCGAGGTGGCATTGGGAAAATCATTGGAGAAAACCGGCGCAGTAAAAATTACTGGCATCCCGAATGATGAACACCAATCAATTCGCGCATTTGGCAAATATTTTCCACATCTTGAAACCAGAATTGATGGCGTCAAAATTAAGATCGGCGACGTTCGTACACAGAGGGTATCGTGCTTTGAAACACCTCTCCTTTACAATGAATTCATTGTCTACGATCCAGCACAGGTCAAACTCAAATATCTGTTGCAAATCAAAATTAGAAAGAATTAATAACGATTACCTGTTGTTACGATGCACAGTGCACACGGCTTTCAAAAATCTGGTGCGATCTTCATGCATTACAGTGCGTGAATTGAGAGAAAAATAAATAAAAGGAAAAGAAACTATTTCAATCCAAATGCGTCGAGTATTTTCCATAGAGTTAAATATTAGTGTACACTGTACACGCTCGCCCCTCGAGTTTCAAAAATATTTATCGATTTTGGATCAATGTAACACTACTAAACAAGACAGTTCAATAGAACAAAACAAAACAATCTACAAGTATACCGCCGCCTTTTTATTGAATTCACCATTCACAAAAAGTTTCCAGGGTTTTACTTAAAGCGATGAAGTCGATAGTACCGTGCTCCGATGCGCCAACTACGCATTTAACACAGTACGATGTCCTGTCCATATCCATCATAATATTTTGTTACTGACGATTGTCAGCTAGCATTTGTAGCTCGAACATTCTGTGTACTCAGACGTCCAAGAGATAAGTTAACAATAAGAACGTCATCATTGCTGCGTGTCACATGACCGTGCTCAGTCAAACTTTATTGCGTCTGAGTGCCTGTAATATCAGTATATGTGGTTGGCGCTCCATTCAATGTCAATGTGTATTTGAACCGTACATTATTCTCACCGTTATGCGAAAAAGTCTCTTCCTTCAATAGTCCTCCGTGTCCATATATAGTCGATATCGTTTGAAAATTGTGGCCGTTCCATTTTATCATTTTTCATTGGCCATATCTTGGCCAAATGCCGGCCGATTTTGATGTTAACAAAGTAAACACGAGCTTGAAAAATTAGAGAAAAAAATGGCCAAGTTTTATTCATTTTTTTTCATGAATATATTTCAGAAATCCCTAACATCTTTGTGTAGCGACTAACGTGTTGTTATTAAGCGAAGTTGTGAATAAAAGTGAAGAAATTTTTTTGTAAACATGATTTTTTGATTTAATTTCTTTCATTAAATTGATCAATATGCTGAATTTTAATACTTCTAACGAAAAAACATTGAAAACAGAGAAACTGACAGATAACAAAGAAAGGGCTATTTCCACAGAGATTTGTAAATGATCCGAAGTGGCAAGGTAGAGTCTCTGTTAAGAATATGTACCGCATGTTACTGCAGGAAATGGCAGATTGTTTTGGAGTTGATCATCACGTCATTCTCGGATTTTGCTATGTGCGCAATGATGAGATGCTTCCACGATTGTTGAATTTACCCAACTTAAATTTTAATATCTAGGTATTTAGGACTTTATTGTATAAATATTTCATGATAAAAACCAACAGTGGAATGCTTTGTATACTAATACATGAATTTGGTTGAAACTGGGTTGACCGAAGCGCCCTCTAACGAACCAATGGCGAGTTCGTGATGTCCGTATGTTATGCATCAGTATAACGTTTGACAGAACGGAGAGTTTACTTGATTGTATTGTCATTAGCCTTGGATTATCTAGGTGGTGTTTGCGCTCAATATCAGTTGTCAAATTCAAAGCGAATAGGAGAGTTGATAAAAACCAAAACCTATCAACGCCAAACATCTGACACTGTCCAATGTGTGAACCAACCACACTCCGGAACGCCACAGCAAATTAGCTATCATTAGGGCTGGTGGTAGGATAACTCGATCGGATTGCTAGATTTAATATAAATAATTTAATCTAATATAGACGGTGAATAAAGGAAAAATAGCTAGAAGAACATTGAATTTGTGTGTTTTGTTTATTCATTGAAATTTTATTGCCATTTCAACTAAAGTAACTTGACTGAAAATAGAGTTACCGGATAGAAATGAGGCATTTTGAATAAAGTTTCGATGCTGAATCTTAAAGAAAGTCATATTTATAATGGCATGATGTCATTTTAGGGTCCAAAAATGCGCTGGTTTGAATAATTTTCAACTCGAGATATTTCTTAATTGACTGAATAGTTTGTAGTATGTATACAAGGTGGGCCAGAATAACTGTCGGTCTTTTTTCTAAATTTATTTTTTAAATACGATATAAAATATCTAACGAAAGCCAATGATCCAACGATTGTTTGGCCACAACTAAGCTCGCAATCCTTCAAAGGAAAAGTAAGGATTTGTGTGTAGATTCCTTAGAAATGGTGCGCGCCATGCGTAATTTTTTTTCGGGACATCTATGGCTATAACTCGACCAATATTTTTTAAAAACCAAATTTGGCGGCTGGAATAAAAATATTTAGACCGCATCTACCACATGCAAAAACACGTGCCCAATTATCTTGAAAAATGTGTAATTCATACTTGAAAATATAACCGACAGTTATTCTGGCCCACCCTGTAGTATGACTCGGAATCGAATTTCAATGCCTTTTTTGTACTCAACATTGATCTTTCAATATTGGATTATGGTAAATTAAATAGATTTAGTCACTTTCAAGGATAGTAGCTTACATGCATCCCAGTGCAATGTGCAGTGATATACATGTTGTATACACATGGTTTCGGACATTCTCGTTCCAACTGTATGCCTTCAGCCAAATACAGAGATTGCATTTGATCACACATCGCATACACAGAATGTATGTACCGTTCCTAATTCAACCAAACCAAACCGAACCAGTTTAAGATAAAAAGTTGAATTTACCGAATTGAAGGAACACTTCGCGTAGAATTTTTCAAGAAATTGCAATTATATGAACCGCTTGATGAGACTCAACTTGTAATTTCATTCTGTTAGTTACCACTTTAGATTGAATCGTTCAAATTGGCATTTTAAATTATTTCCTTAGGAGGACAAAAAATCATTGGATTTTCCTGAAAAATTTGCACTCTGAATGGAAATCAATGCTCACAAATTTCACATCATTCTTGATGCAGTCAATATTTTTTACATGGTGAATAATTTTCATTCGCGAAACAAATTTTCAAGAACAGCTGTACGTGTCGAAATTAATTCACTTGCAATTAACATATTCAAAATTTATTGAATTTGAATTTCGCTCTCTGGATTCTTAGACAGACTCCAACTGAAGAGTATAATTGATACGACATACAAATTATTTGGTCCAATGGGAAGCTTTGAAGGCCTGTTCATTGCTATCGCATCTGCTAATTACATCTATAGTCCCAATATCAAGGGTAAATTACTTATAAGTAATACAACGCTGCTGAAAAAGTAATACAACTTTTTAGTGAATTGCCCCTTGCCCAATATACGTTGCAATACCGACGTTGCTGGCTTACACTTCAACCGATGGATGATTATGCAAATTTTAATATTTGCTTCATCACCCCACCATATTCAATTCGTTAATCGTTTTCCTGGTTCATTGTTTTTAATGAATCATGCAATTTATATAGAGCAGAAAAACGATGCATGTGTACATTGTAAAATGTACGTCTTCGATCGAAATAACGATATTTTACGTTTTTTTCCTTGCACATTTTGACACAATTCTTCTCAATTTGTTCAATTTGTACGCGACCTTGAGAATCTTTTATCTTTAGGAAGTTAAAAACTTGTTTTGAATGGTTCAGCAAATGAATCAATTTATAATTCTGGGGCTTGAAAGCAAATACTTACCCATTCAAATTTTAGCGACATTATTCAACGTAATAAAAAATTTGCATTATTATCAAAGTGAACAACAATTTTATGGGAATCGTGAGACTTTCTCATGATTCATGCAATGTTATTACACTTGTCGATTGAATCGAAACTGCAATTTCATTCTGGGTGGATCATTCTGATATTGTTGAATTGTTATCATTTGTCTCGAATTGAGACTCTAAAGAGGAAATAAAAGAGGCGAATGTATGTCTATCAAACGAAAAAAATATACTTTTATATTGAAACTTACAATTGAAATGAAGGCAAACATGTTAAATTATAGAGGAGTTTTGTGTGAACACATAAAATAAAATGATGCAAACAGTTTAGCAGCGCGAGATATTTTCATATAAATAACAATGAGTTGATACTCTCAGTCTACAGTCAAGTGAATCTAATGTGTATTTAAAGTTCATCTCATAGCATTCGATTCCAATACCTTCCAAAACACATTTCATTGATCTGCGATTGTTCGGACCAAAAACTGCGATTTTTTTTTAGTTTTTCTAAAGATTTTTTACTTTTATTAAATTCTCAAGACGATTTTGATTTAAATTCGATCAAACACATTCGAATCTGTTAATTTGAAACATACTTTACACCCCAAAAAAAAAAGTCGGTCAGAAATTTGAAAAAAAAATCTGGAGGAACCGTTAAAATAAAAGAAAAACGCTGAATAAAAACGTTCGACGATAATAAAGAAAAAGCTAAAAAAAAACCCAAAGATGTTACCCGACTACGTGATAAATTGTGTGCATAAAGTCGCAAAAAATGAAGGATTCACAGATTTTAAAATCGAAACAAAGGCTGGATCTGCGCACGGTGATAACTTCCTTGGAATCATGACCGCCATAACATTGACTGGAACGCGGCGAAAAAATGGTCAAACTCAATCAGAAGAACTGCATTTACTATGTAAGGCGCCACCAAGGAATGTAATTCGTCAGAAAAACTTCGCCACATCGTTAGTGTTTAGTCGTGAGATTTACATTTATTCAAAACTGTTACCAGCCTTCGTTCGATTCCAACGTGAAAAAGGTCTTAGTGAAGCCGATTCATTTCTGTCATTCCCGAAAGTGTATGCGTGCGAAGTGAACGAAGAAAAGCAAACGTACATTTTGCTAATGGAAGATTTGAGATCGAAAAACTACGAAATGTGGCCCAAAGATGAAACGGTTGACCTAGAGCATGAGCTACTCGTTATGAAAGAGTTGAGTAAATTTCATGCCATTTCATTTGCAATGAAAGATCAACGACCAAATGAATTCCGCGAATTCCAACAACTTACCGACTTTTTCGTTGGCATCTATGTGAAAACTACAATCAAATCATTTATCAAAACACTGATTGATCGCTCTATCAATGTGCTGGAAAAACCACAACACAAACAAATCATGCAAAACTTTCGAAACACCTTTTTGGAACGAGCTGAAAAGCTGAAAAGCGTACCGTATTGCGATGAATTTGGTATCATGCTACACGGTGACTGTTGGAATAATAACTTTTTGTTTCAACACAGAAACGATAATGTAAGAAATTGAATTTTTTTTTATTCCAAAGTTTTTCTTTTCTTGATTGATTTCTTTCTCAAACTAATCGAGTTTCAATTAATCGAGTCAAATTTCGAAAATAAGACATTTTTTAGTCGGAAATATTTAAAAAATGTTGACAAAAAAAATTGAATGAAAAAAATGTTGGATAAATCGAATTTTTTTAAGGTATCTGAATCTTTAAAACTTTCTCCGTTTCTCTTTCAGAAAAAGCAGTTAAAATCGATATGTTTTGTTGACTGGCAATTAACGCACTACAGTCCTCCTGTCATCGATGTGCTGTACAACATTTTTTCATCAACGGACAAACCGTTTCGTGATTTGCATTACGAAAAACTCCTAAAGACCTACTATTCTTCATTGAGCCAAACAATTCGAAAGCTGGGAAGTGACCCGAACAAATTGTATACGTACGAAAATTTCCAAGAACAAATGCGAAAATACAGTGACTATGCTCTGCTGCTGGCACCTATGATCATCACAATACGTTTGGCCAAAGCAAAAGATGTCGCCAATTTAGATGACTATGCTGAGTGTCTGGAGCGAGGCGAAGAAGCTGACGTTGTCCACGAATTCGACGATGAAACACAAGCCGAATTCAGTAAACAAATCAACGGTCTCGTTACGGATCTTGTAGATTATGGATATGTGAAATGTGAATAGGGTCGGTTTTTTTTGACAACTAATCATTAAATAGGGTTTGATGAACGATCGGAGAAGATCTCTCAAGTAGCTTCATTTTCAACGCATTATGGTTGTTTTGTTAGTGGCTCGAGTCATTTTTAAAATGACTTCAGATAAGAGGGGAATTTGTATATTCAATTTTTTTCTTCAAAAAATGCTGTAAATTATAATTAAATTAAATAAAAAAATTAGTTAATCAATTAATTTAACTGTCATAAATCATCATTATGCGAATGTTTCAAGTTTAGTGTTAATAATCCATTCAAATGTACATGAGTAATGTCGCTTTATCCTTATGATCATCATCGAGGCCATTTAAGACCACTCGAGGACCTCGAAGAGTTGAGGTTGATCAAAGCCGATCGAAGCCTGATACAACTGTCCAAAAAGACAAATCTGTCTAGAATAAAATGTCGAAAACCTAAAAAAAGGTCCTAAAGCTGTTTCAATAAAAAAAACTAGAAAAAAAGAGCATAAAAAAAAACTCGAAAATTTTCTCAATGATTGTTAAGCAAAAATATAGTGGTAGATTTTATTAGAACGAAAATTGATTAAGTGTTTTAAACATAACTCAGAGAAAAAAAAGTACGGTTGTCATCGAACCAAAATGACTTGAGACAAAAGAGTGTGTTGGTTTGTGTGATACTGTTCAGCATATGAGGCTAAAAATGAAAATCAAGAGAAGATTTTGTTGTTTCTATCATTGATGAGTGTAGTTGTTTCGCTGGCTTGTTAATGGTAAAACGAGATGCTAGTGTGTTGTGGTGTTTATATGTGATTAGTATCCATGACCGTGACTATCTTGTGGTGTTTATATGTGATTAGTATCCATGACCGTGACTATCTTGTGGTGAGCGAACATCGTCGATTTTCAGGATCATTTTGACGAGTTGTGTGGCCAAAATGAGTTGTTGTTTCTTCGAGTGCAATGATTCGATGACATGATGTTTCTTCATATCAGATTCGCCGCTCAACATGCAATCCACACCCAATGATGTGCACTTTTCGTTGACATGTCGTGATTTCAATTCGGACAATGTTTCAATCGGTGCTAAGCCACTATTTTCGGCCAATGCCAATGGAATCGCTTCGAGTGCAACACTGAACGATCTAAATGCATACTGTTCAAGTGATGACAATTGATCGGCCTCTTTGGCCACGGCCAATGAGCATGCAATTTCAGCTGCACCACCACCGTACACAATACGCGAATCCTTGATCAACGAACGCACCACACACAATGCATCATGAATGGAACGTTTTGCTTCGGCAATGATCATTTGATTACCGCCACGAATCAAAATGGTGACCGCCTTTGTATTCTTGCAATCTTCAATCACAAGCATTTTATCTTTTGTCGTACCGAATGCCAATTCACGTACGGTACCCGCATAGCCCAACTTATCGGCGCTCAACTCTTCGAAACGTGGCACAATACGACCACCCGTTGCAATTGCAATCAATTCAATTTCCGGTCCACCCACCCATCGAACGGCTGGCAAATTGTGTTGTAACAACAAATGATTGGCTTCATCGTCGAAACCCCATTGGCAGATGGCTAATGTGGCACCGGCCTCTTTCACTTGCTTCACCATCGTTTCGAATTTTTCCGCTTCGTATGCACGCAACAATTTGTAGTCTTCGGCCGATTTAACATCCAACTTATGCTTGGTCTTTGGCTTTGGTGGTTCAAATGGACAGGTCAATATCGCCATTTTTACATCCTGAAATGAAAAAAAAAAATTGGAAGGAAATGTTAACATTTTGTAAAATGGATTTTTTTTCGCTGATTTTGGAAGTGAGAAATAGGAAATCCCCTTTACGATGCATAACACGATGTGTTATTAAAAAAAACACCAAAGAAAATTAAAACACGTTCTTACCTTCATGCTCTTTGGCATTTGTGGATGACTCATTGTTTTGTCTAAAACCACACCTTTCACAAGCATTGTGTCTTCCATGCGACCGCCAACTTTGCCTTCGATTTTAATCAACTCAAAGTTGACATCTTTCTTTTCCAAATCTGCAGAATGAAAACAAAAACAGGGAATTAGTTCAGCCGATCGATTCTTATTCGACGGAATTCTTTTTTTTCGTGTAATTTTTTTTTATGGATTTCGGTGATAAAAATGAATTTTAATGATTTCGGATTGAGATTTTACAAAATTTCACTGAATATTGTCTCTCTCTGTGCGCTACGATGCACGCAACGCTACGAACATAGATATATGTGTGAATATGAATAGACATGAATATTCAACGAGATTTGATGTTTAGTTTTGTAAAAAAACAAATTTTTTCTACAGAAATCGACCAATTTTTGATGAAATTTCACAAATTTCCGGTGAATATTAACAAATTTTTACACGCTTTCAGTAGAAATGGTCGATTTTCCATAAAATTCTATGAAATTTGATGGAATTCCAAAAATATCCGACAAAATTCCAATGATATCCGTCGAATTTGTAATAAAATGCATTAAATTCCCATAGAAACTTTAGAATTTTAAGTGAATTTCAATAAATCTTCAACTAATTTCGAACAGTTCCGCACAATTTTCATAAAATTTTTGGTGAACAATTGGGATCATTGTACTTTTTTTCGATTTTTCTTCATCAAAAAAAGTTTCCAAATGTAAAAGTCATGAAAAAAAGTCTAAAAAAAAACTCACCAGCAACCGTAAGAACCGCATTGACAGCAATTTCGGCCATTTGACGATGGCATTTATTGATGATTTTGCTACCGAGTGTGGTCATAGCAACGCGTACCAATGGTTCTGTATCGTTCAATGCAACTGGGAATGGTTCGGCGATGCTATCCAAACATTTAACCGCACACTGTGCGGCCAATTCAAAACCGTCCGCAATGCGAATGGGATGAATGCCACGATCGAGCAGAGCTTCGGCTTGATCCAATAGAGCGCCCGCCAATACAACAACACCGGTTGTACCGTCACCGATTTCATCGTCTTGCGATTGACTCAATTGTACCATCAATTTGCCAATTTCATGTTCAACATCCATCATTTTCAGAATGGTGGCACCGTCATTTGTGACTGTGACATCACCATCGCTGCTCACCATCATTTTGTCCAAACCCTTTGGACCGAGCGATGTTTTCAGCGTGGATGAAATTTGTTTTCCCGCTTGAATGTGACTCTAGAAATTTGCATGAAAATAAAATCATTAGAAAAATTCGTTTCACATCACAAATCACATTTTTTTGCAAATGGAATTTTTTTTCGTTTTATTCGAAAGGTATTGTTGATTCACCCAGAACATTCGACATGTGTGTATTCATTGTGTTTATTGTCAATGGGCGGAGCTTAACACACACTCCGTTGATCACAAGACACACCAGATTTTCGAAAAACCGTACATTTTAAGCATTTTTATGAAATTTCTGCCATTGTCACTGGCCAAACTTAGTACACAGCAATGAAAATCCATGATTACAATGGTTTTTACACAAAATCACAACACTTTTCATAGAAATTTGGTGAATTTTTTGATCGGATGGTCCGGTCGGTTTTTTTTTTCTTCAGTCGCATGATTCATACGATTCACAATGCCTATTTCGTTCAAAACTAACCTTAATTGCATCGTTCCCTGTGAGACGCTTTTGTTGGTCTTGATCACGTAAAATGATGAAAGGCTTGCCGAATTCATCGAATGCAATGCTTCCGGGAAACGAAACCATGGTTTTTTATGCAATTTTAAACAATTTTCACGCCGATGATATTCGATTAAAAAAATGGATTTTTTGGTTCGAATTGAGTGTAGCCGGGTCTCTATTGTAACTACAAACGTCTGTGAAGTTGAACTGTTTCAGCCATTCAATGCGAGAGCTGTCAAACAATACGGCTTGTGTCACATGTGTGAACGAAACGTCAAGTCCAGAATGATTGGCATCGAATCGCGTACTTACGCCTGAGTATCATTTGAGTTACTTGAAATTCAATTTGGATTCGAATCAGGTGAAAATGAAGTCTTTTCACCGATTTCATTTAATTTTTCATAGGTTTTTTTTCATGTTTTCATTTTTTCTGTTCATTTTTTTAAAGAAGAATTTTTTAGGAAGAAAATATTAGGAAGAATTGTCTTTTCATGCGAAAAATATTTTTATGAAAGAAAAAAGTTGGCAATGTTTTCATCGATGTCAATGTTTACAGTAGCGGCCGCGCCACATGTATTTAGCAGAAAGCTGATTCTCATTTCGAGTGATACTCAGCGATGGGCTAAATGTCAAGTGCGATTTCTATCGTGCAATGAAGAACATGCGCTTGTACCTGTGTGCGTGTGCGTCTGTGTGTGTCTGTGTGTGACAGTAAAACAAACGCAATAATTTTTGTGTTGAGCGTTGAGCGTTGTGCGACAATGCACACATACACTTTGTGTGTCTTTTCAGATTTATCATGCTGCAAATGTGAATGGCATCGGTTTGTTTCCTCTGAATTCTAATCGCACAACACTAACTACGTTAAGTATTGAGCAGTGCATGTATGTGAATGGCAGCAGCCGTCTCGTCCGTATGTGTTGTGCATTACATTTCGGTACATTTTCGTACTAGTCAATGAAGAATATATGTGCAAACCGAAAGAGAGACACACCGACTAAATACAAACACCACATACACATACAACACACAATACCGAAAAATCGAATCAACACACAAGAGTAGTGAAACGAAACGAAAAAGAAGAAGGCAGAGCAATAGCAGCAGAGAAAAAAAAATACGAAGAAAAGAAAGAAAAGAAGAAAAAAAAACACAACGAGAAAAACCCTTAATGGCGACGTTTCTCATTAAATGAGTATTTGTACATGAATCGAGTGCTTGTGCTGTTTTTGGTGCATTTTCAAAATCTGCCCGTGTGTTTTTCTTTATTTTCAATTTTCATTTTTTCGGCCACAAACAAAATACAACACAAAGACACCGGACGCGTCCATCGAAATTAGCATTTGACGAGCAGAATAAAAAGGATTTCTTTTTTTGGTTGGACAACGACGACGACACATCACAATCAAATAGAAAAAAAGTTAAAATTTGTGTTCAATATTTTTGTGGTGTAAAAAGAGACAGAAACGGTGAAGCCGAAGAGAGAATGAGAATGAAATAAATAGCAAATAAGCGACTGAAACGCACATCTAATTGGAATTATTAGTGAAATATGTAGTGTACACAACAATATTTTCTCTTCTTTCGTTTTGTTCCGTGCAATCGCATCGAATGGATGCTGATGATTGCCGTACAAAGTGAATATACAAGAAAATCTATTTCGAAATTTTCTTCTCGTTTTGATGGACATTTGTGTGCGATACCAAATCATTCAGAATTTTCGTGTTGAATTTTCCAAAACCGATTGAAGAATCAAACTAAACAATTGCGTTTTGCGTTGAGTCAAGTCAATTGTCAAATCGGAACGTTTTCCCCATACAGTGTTTTGAAGGTGCGCTTTGCTTTTCGGGTACGCTGATACGGCTTGACGTAAAAACTATCCCCACAAAATAGACTCACAAAAAACAAAAAAACACAACGCAGAGGAATGAGTACCGTGCTCACGTGATTTTGTGTTTTGGTCCATTTTTGTGTTGGGATTTTTGTTAACCTAACTAATGTCATTCGGGAAATTACAATCTCGGTGATGAATAAAGAAGCTGGTCTTTCAGAAGCAGTCGAACTCTGTATCCACACATCCAATAGAAGTATTAGTTTAGAAGAAGTGAAGAAGTGAATACATATAGCCATAAACTGCGATTTAACCGCCGCTACTCTCGACTAGGTGCTGCCTTTGTAAACACTAGTGTTTGAAAGAAGTGAATTAAGGTTTTAGGGCTCTGAATTCGCGAAATAAAATTCTTATCATAGCTCAAGACCATATATCGACCAAGACGAAAAAACAAATCGCTATCAAGTGACCGATTAGACGGTGTGAATTGTGGCGTGAGCAAAAAATTGCGTTTGAATTTTTGTGCATTGTGCTCTAATTTGTTGGTTTTGATTGTGACGCGACGTGCAAGCACATTAGCGCATTAAAATCGCAGCAGCGCACAAAACTATCGTCATCATACGTAGTAGCAACAACAACAGCGACAACATTAACAATCATCGACCAAAAAAATACATATATTTGAGGCAGCTATTTCTGGTTTGATTACTCGAACAACAGCATCGGAATATCAACCCAAATAGAGAGAGAAAGAGAGAGAGAGAGAGAGAGAGAGAGAGAGAGAGAGAGAGAGAGAGAAAGAGAGACACAAATCTAGTAAATATAATCTGCAAATGATTCAAACAACAACATTGGAATAGTGTGTGATAGTGTGGCAACAACAACACCACCATAAAATAGTGAAGAAGAGGAAGCATACACATGATCCAATAAAGGAAGAGTGAATGAAAGATAGACATAGAAATTTGTGTTTCATGTGTGTTTAAATGTGCAAGTTGAATATTTTTGAAACGAAGCAAAAAGAAAAAAAAAACAATCGCAGCGAACAGGAGAGAAAGACGCCGAAAACGACAAACATTCAACAGAAACCGAGAATTTCGAGTGAATTAAGTAAATAGGATTGTGAAAAAGAGAAAAAGGGAATAAGAGAGAAATAAAGTGAGCGAAAGAGCAAGAGTGTCGGTATAAATACACCAAATCCGTAAACATATTCAATAAATCAAGCAATGCTATAATGTAATACAGAAATGAAAAGGAAGCCCCGACAAGGAACACCGAAAACACACAAAAATATAAGGCAATAAAAAAGACGGAGAGTGAGAGTCGAAGACAAAAGACACACAACAAAAACAACGACGACGACGACGACAACGGGAAAAAAAGAGAGAAATTGTTGTTTAAAAACGAAGGCAGCTCGCGCGCACTTTGCAGCTAATATTAGGAAAGACGGCGGCGGAAAGAGCGCAAATAAAAAAAGCAGCAGCAGCAGCAACACTACACACAGCATACATCTAGTCTAGGTGGTATCATAGACAACACATTACAGCAAATCAAATGTGCGAAGCAATCAAGTAACCGAAGAATATTGTTCGAAGAAGCAGAAAAAAGCGTGCATACACACGACTTGATCTCGAATACAGCACACATTAACCGTGTTATTGTTGTTGTAGTGATTTTTTTTTGTGCGCTGTGTTCCTTCTTCTTGCCCATTGCTTGCATTCATTATACGATTTTTTTGTTGCTTCTTTTCATAAAGTGAGTGAGAAAGAAAGAATAAAGACGAGTGTGTGTGAGTGTGTGGCTGATTGTGTGTTTTTTTCGGTTTATTTGCCGACGAAATTCTGTACGCGAAAACCAACGGCGACCAAAAGTAAAGAAAGAGAGGGAAAGAGAGAGAAAGAGAGAGAGAGAGAAGAAAATAAAACCGAATAACAATAATAAATCGAAAATTGGTATTAATATACATGGGTCTAATAAATGTGTCCCTGTCAACAACAGCAACAGCAACGACCACAACGAGCTAGAGGTGCTGGCTTCATTATCCGATGCGAATGTGTATATTGAGTGTGCCAATAGAAAGTGTACACAATTCGAAAGTATTCGAGCAGCACGAATTCAATCACAACAATTTAGCACACGGACTATCTATCTGTGAGTGTGTATGCAGTGCTTGGTGTATATATATATGCATTGCGGCTCCAATTTCAATAATTTAGCCAAACGCATATTTTCTGTCCACACGGCTGTGAATGTTAGTCACTCGCGCTCAACTCAATAAATATTATCGTTTGTCGATCGACGAATCAGAAAGAAACGTTCGACTAATTGAACCACAGCTGGCTGCCACCAACCACGACGACGACGACGACGACGACGATTCAACAATCAAAACAACATCTGATGAACATTTGATAAGATAGACGAATTTTTCGAATCGGCCTTTAGATACGCCGCACAGATAGTGAAATGAAATTGTTTTTTTTCTGGGTTTTTCGCGAAACCCCGGAAAGAGAAAAAAAAGTAAACAACTGTAAATATTGTAATTGAAAACGTTGCAATCAACAAATAGCGCGACAACGTGCTGATTGATTTGCCGGAGGAAATTCAGTCACTGGAACGACCAAGTGTGGAAAAAGAAGAGTGGCAACGATAATCGATTCGATTGAAATGTGCGTGTGCAAGATCTGAACCAATTAAATATGCAGAGCAACACATTTGTGATGTGACAAAAAAACAACGACGACGACGACGACGACGACAACGACCATACCAAACACACGTGCAACGTCAAACAAAACAATTGACTTTCAATTTGATCGTCGCTGGGTTTTTTTTTCGTCGTTCCTTCTTTCGAATCTTGCGCGCAAGCGAAATCGCTCATTTCATATTCAATCGTTACATCGGCGGGAATAACAAATCGCAAACTGATATTTTGTCGCTGAGTTTTTTTTTTTTTAAATTGAAATGCCCAAGCAGACTGATTTAAAGGCACACTCCGACCAATAACCGATAAATCCCATTTCAAGTTGGAAAATTGAATGAATTCTTCCGTTGCATAAACGGAAAGAGTGAGAAGAAAAAGAACGAAAGAGAGAACGAGAGTAAGAGAAAAAACGATAGAGCAGGAGAGAAAGAGTGTTAGAGTTTGAGAAAGAGTGTGAGGTGGAGAAAGAGAGTGCGAGACGGAAATGAGGGTGTAAACGGGACAACTCAGCATTATATATTTAAATCAATAAACAAAATCAACAAGCGATTGAAGCGCGAGCACAAACACACAGACACCGACGTGACAACCGTGCACAACCGACACAAGCAAAAATCATCGAAACCAATTTATCTAACGCCCGAGATTGTGTGATAATCGCGCGCCGCGCGCATTGTATGTATACTTTTATCTAGTGATAATAATTGTGAGTACACGACAACAAGGAGGCGCAACGCACTAGCAGTAAATTCTGATTTGATTTTGTTCCGTCATTCAAATGTAGCAAGAAAAAAAAAAGAAGAGAAGAGAAGACAAACAGCAACAGCAACTGCAATCAAAACTCATCGCACACTCACACACACGCATACACTGAAATTGACCGACTGCAAACAGTGATTCGAATTTACCGAAATCAAGACGAAGAAGAGCAACGTGAACGGGCACACAGAGTGAAATAGATTGTGTGTAAGGGTGGTTCATATGCCGCTAGTACATCGCCAACAACAGATATACATTGAGCTAAAATTAATCGTTGCGATTCTTTTCTGTTCTCAATTGTTGTTTTTTTTTGTTGCTCGCCCATTCATTCAAAGTGTTGTACTGTCTCATCACTGAGCCGCTCTAACGGTTCTGTACAGCAAGAAAAAAACAACGAGTCAATAAAAATGTTATTACGTACATAGATCGAGTGACAAGCAAGGAACTGATTTAAGTGAAGAGAAAAAAAAGTGACAAGAAAAGACGGCAAAACACTTCGAGTCGACAAAGGATACGGTGAACGAAGAGACAGAAAGAAAAACCACAGACAATTTTCAATTCGTTACTCTTGTTTTGACACAATTTATGTGCAGTGCTTTAGACATTTAATTAAGAAAATCAAATCAAAAGGAGAACAAAATAAACACTTGCATCGATGCTGACTATGTTTAGTCTGCGAACTCATTTTGATTGGTAACAACAATAACGGTTAACCGTTAACTCGGCTGCAACAGTGCGCGATTAGGAAAACTCGACAAAGTGATTTTCATCGCGTTGCAGAGTGTGACGTGATTTTATTATTTTTTCGGATTTTGGTCACTCATATGCCAATGACGAGGCCATCTGATTTAACCAATTTTAAGGGAATACAACAAATTCAACACATTACAATGGCTCATCATCGAAATACAAGGCGAAACGGCAGTGCGCACAACGCACTTTTCATTGCATTGATCACACTTTCGATATCAACTTTGGGCAACGGTAAGCTTTTATAGTTGAAATAACGTCATATGTTCGAGCAGAGCCAAAAATTCTTTTTTTATTATTTCTTCCTTATAATTTTCTTCTTAATTTTAGGAAAAAGCCGTTTTTTTACATTTATTCAAAAATTTGTGAAAAAAACCGGTCAATTTTCAAGTTTGAAAGTCAATTTTTTGATCAAAAAGTTCCAAAATGATTGTTTTTGGCCTTTTCTTGCTTCGAAAATGAATTTATAGGTCCAAAAACGATTTTCCAGTTAGAAAAATTATTTTCAATTGTAAAACTAATTTTGGACGACTTAAAAATGCTCCCTCTATTGATCAGTTTTTTTTCATTTAATTCAGTTTTTTCTTCATATTTTCAAGAGACATTGATTTTCTCTGTGGAAAATTTATCTCTTTTTAATCTTTTTCGGCTCGAAATTTATGTTCAAAATGAAAAAATACCAGAAAATGATTGATTTTTTTTGAACGAAAATTCACATTTAACTTGAACACATTTTGTTTATCTTCCAATAGCGTCCACCATTCATCGACATTCACGTGAAATCGATGGCGAAAAGCTGAACGATTTCACGATAAAACATTTGGAAAGCAGCAATAGCAGCAGTAAAAATGATACAATTAGTATTGTAAATAATAATTTAAGTAATATGAACGATAGCCATGCTTACGGCTATCATTCTGATGATAAGACGATCATCAACTCAGGAGCTCACTCACAACCCATTGTTGCACCAGCCGAACCAAAAAGTAAGTAAAATTCTTATTAGTGAACGAGGTCAAGTCTTCCTGCTTATTCAAGGCTAAATCTTCTTACAATTCAATGGGCTAAGTCTCCCTGTATTTCTGCAATGGGCTAAGCCTGTTCGTCGTTTCATGTTTCTTCATGGCAAAAAGGAAGAAAGTCTTTTCTAATGAAAGGAAGTTTTTGGGGAAAAATGGAGAAATCTCTTTGAATGACTTTATTTTCGATCGAAAACAAAGAAGAATTTTTCTTTTGAAGAATTATTTTCCAGAAAGTTGATTTATTTCTTGTGAAAAGCCGATTTTCTAACGAAAAGAAGATTTTTCGTGTGGTTTTTCCTTTTTTTCCGGTAAGGAAAAAAGAGTTTCTAATTTTTCCCATGCAAGGACACCACAGTCTTAGTGGTAAACTTTCACTTCTGCTGCCTTTTATCCATTTTTGTTTACTAATCATCATTGTTTTCTTTCTCGTTCAATTTCATTTCACCGCCCAACTCAACACGAGCAGGACAATTGAGGTGTCACTGTAATGACTGCCCGCAGAATACATGCGAAACGGATGGCCTTTGTTTTACATCGGTGGAAGCGCGTAAAAATGATCGATGGAAGCTTACTTATTCGTACAGGTAACATCATCTGAATAATCACATCACATTCACACACACACACACACAACACTTTTCCATAGCCGTCCCCCGGTGTTGTGTCGTTTTTTTCTGTCTTCAAAAATTGTTTCGATTGAAATCATCAGCGATCGAAAAGTCTGCGCGCACCAAAATTTTGTGTTTTACTTCTCTTTCATCAGTCCGCATCGAAAATCTCGAAGCAGTGAAAATGCTGTAGGAAATTTCCGTTTACACAACCTTATCAAACTCATAAAATCAGTTCATAACAGGGTACAAAACAGCAGATGTGTTATTTTTTCTCTCTCGCTCGCTCGCTTGTCCAAATAATAATAATGTTCATATTTGATTTGAGCTGTCAAAACAAATTTATGCTTCACACAAACACATCAGACACTCATTAAACCGTCCATTTTTCTCAGTGGCGTGTGTATCGCATATACAAAGCAAATCATTTCAATGAAGAAACAAGAAATCGAGACTAGAAACATTTTATTTTGAACAAAGGAAATGAAATCAGTTTTGGGATCACGTAATCTTCGATTAATAAACAATGAAAATAAAATCGAGAAAATTATTCGCCGAAAATATCGGGACTTTGATGACGACTCCGATAATTTTATTCCGCACTCTTGATATGAACACACCGTGATCTTCAAGAGATTGAATGTCAAGTATGAGAAAGTTTCTCATTCTCGAGATACCAACGCGCTTTTATGTTCTGAAAACGAAATGAGTGCATTCGCATTCGCCAACCGCAAAAAACACACATTGAGCTCACGCGGAAACATGCAACACAATTAATCAAAAACCATTCATCATTTAGTTCTTTATTTTGGCGCTTCATTTTGGCACAAATTGATTTTTTTTCCTTTTTTTTAAATTAAAATAACAAAATTATGTTGCCGTGTTTCAACATAGACTTAATCTAGTTTATTAAACTATTCTTCGGTTTAATAAACAAGTCTCGAACAATTTTTTACATTTTCTATAATTTCTCATTCAAATTTCGTTGAATTTTGCGAACAAAACGGAAAAATAGATAAATTTCTTGAAAAAAGGAAAAAAAAGAAAGAAAATGTCGGTTGAAAATTATCTTCGATCCAAAAAATCTGTCGATTTAAAGAGCTTTGGAATAGAAGAATATCGTTATCCCAAGAAAATCATCGATAATTCTTAAATTTAAACAGTATTTCGCTTCAAAATTGTCACCAGTCGAAAAAAATTCTTCGATTAAAAAAGTTCATCGTTTTCGCCAGAAAAATGTCAATTAAAACGAAAGTGTTTTTGTGAAACATCCAAGCCGGCGAATTTCGTTGGAATTTTTTTTTCATCAAAAGCCTAGTTTACAGTTCGCCATACGGAAAATAAATGAAAATGCCCTTTTGCATTGATTTTTTGGTACCTAACCCGGTCATGCGGAAAAAATTGTGGAGAATACCAAATATTTTTTACCACCTAAAGGAATCACCTTGAGGAATACCACCTAAAAATCAATGCAAAATGACATTTTTTTAAAAATCAATTTGTTCGCAAGGAAACCAACTGAAAATTAGGCTTAAAGAGGCATTGCAATGAAAAATATCTCATTTCAAACCAATAAAACCGTGCAAATTTTGTGAATTGAACCAAAATATAAATCATGAAAATTGATCCATCGGAAAAACACCCAAAAATAAAATAAATACAAAAATCCACCCCAACCCGCAGTTGCCTAGATAAAAAGCAATTTTTTCCACCGGATCGTCCGATTTGGTGCAACAGCGATCGCAAAGGGCCAACAGCGCGTCCAACATCCGAAATTGGTGGGCATGCCTGTTGCAATTACAGCTACTGTAACATGCATTTAAAACCGATCATTCTCGACTATCGCAACACACCAGTCACTGAATACATACAAGGTGGGATATTGACCATTTTCCCCAATTGTTTGTGTGTGTATTTCTTGCCCGCTTTATTTTGGCTCTTATTTCCCGAGCCGCTACATAACTTTTTCCCCAACCGCCAACCCGGTTCATTCAAAACCAACAAAAAAATAACACAGCAATTAACTCTAATGTTTCTTTCCATGTCAATTGTCGATATTGGATTTTGATTACAAATTGTGTTGCCGCACTAATCGCTTGTGAGTTAAATTAACGATATTTTTGGATGAATCGATTTTCAATCGGCGCTGATATTCTCGGCCGATTTGCCGCGTGCGTAAAATGAGTCCTTATCACCAGAATGAATACGGACAAAAACATTTCGACTACAGCTCGACTCAACCGATTTCGAATGACGCTAAACAAAATACTTCATCGTGAATAACATTTAGATGATTTTCCCAATAACTAATAAACGAGTGATTTTGTTTTTCATTTTGTTTAAGTTTTTTATCTTCTTATTTTGATTTTCAATAACTGCATCAGTTTTTCTTTGATTTTCCATTTTCATTTTCAATTATTTGTTTTCATTGTTAATTTTCGTTTGATTTCGTTTGTTTTTTTTTTATTCGATGTTAATTTTGTTTTTGCTTTCCATTTTTTTACTTTCGTTCTGATAAAATAACTCAATCTTTTCGATTAATTCGGCTCGCATCAAAATCATTTCGTTTTCAGAATTCTGTTTGTTGTTCAAATTGAATCGTGATTGATTTTCTAGTTTTATTCATCCCAATTAATCGCCCAAAAGAGTGAATTTCCCATTGAATTTGATAGATTGAATTTTATTTTTTGACTTGAAACCGTTAAGAAGGAAGAAAAGACTCCAGTCCAATCGAGAAAAAAAAAACGTGAAAAAATCATTTGAAAAAGTTAAAAATCTAACTGTAAACCCTGTTGGTACATACCAAGTTTAACTCATGGTCCCGACTTGATCCATGGTTCAAGTTGATCCATGGAGCCATGCATGGCTCGAATTGGATCGAATGAGTACGTGATGAATAAATTCCGTTCCGTATTAGAGAAAAAAGTCATAAAACCTCTGAAGGATTAGCAGAATGAAGAAATGATCGAAAACTCGAGGTGCTTAGATAGCAGATACTAGGTAGTAATCGAAGTAGGAACTATTTTTCTTTAGCAAAAAAAAACACGTTGAAAAACTCAATGAAATAACACGATTTAGCTTGAGATTCAACCTTTGAGATTCAAAAAAAAAAATGTTACTAAAACCAACCAAAAATCAAATCGAAAACCAAAAACCAATGCAAAACCCTCCTTAATACCACATTGCACAGCTGTTTGAATAAGACGTACTATCTGCCGGGCCGGCGTCCATTGGAATGTGAGGTGAACAAGGAGAAACGAGATACGTACAATGTGAAATGCTGTTCCACTGATTTTTGCAATAATGATAAAACGCTCACATTGGAAAGAAATCGTCCAGGAGGTATTTTTGCATTTTCTGTTTTGTTATTGATCCAAACACTGGCAACTGCCACCACTTAATTTTTATATATATGTTCATAATGTAAACACACACACACACACACACACACCGATTATTTCAAGAGACACACGCACAGAGAGTAGTATAATGTAGTCAGTGAAAGTAAAAGTGAAGCAAAATAGGTGAAATGATCGAGAAAAAAGAAGATAATATCGATCATAGCGTAAATAAGCACAATTTAAGCAACTAAATAGCGAAAGAACTAGCACAAACTGTCTTTAGCCTAAGCTCTGCTCTTCTATAGTAATTAGCCACTTTGATTCTTTTCTCGTATGTGTGTGTGCATCTTCTTTTTCTTTGTTGCCTTTTTTTAAAAACTAATTTTCGTAACTAAAATCTAAACATACTAGTAGCCCTTCTGCTATGCTTTACTGTTTGTTCGAAAAATTTGTTTCTTCAATGTTTGTAACTTAGTCCATCTCGTTGCCTGACTATAATTTTTGTTATTTTGACTTGATTTTGAGCCCGTGTTTCTGAATATTTCGCTGAAATTTCCTTTTTTTCCCTATTTTTGGCACTGTTTAGCTATCGTTCTTGCTTCTTCTTTTTTAGTTTTAGAGTTTTTCCACGGCATTTTAGGTCTCAAAATTCTCAACGTACTGCAATCTGCGAGAGTTTGAAGAATTAGGAGAGATTTGATGAGCTCAAGCATTTTTTTTTTTGGAGACGTTGAAACATTTGAAAACTGTTTGAAAGGTGAAACATCAAAAAATGTTGACATTTCCCCAGAATTCACGCTTTTTGTTTTAAATTCTAATATTTTCCCCGTATTCCCAAAAGATTTCATTTGGTTTCGGCTTTAGGAACCGTTCTATTTCTCCCATCGTTTTGTCAACAGTTCCAAGGAGTCATGTCACTATCATATGAAACGCGATCGGATCTTCTTGCGTTACAAATCAACCGATAACAAATGAAACGAGAAACGAAACGAGTGCGAAAGAAAAAAAAACAGCGTTGTTCTCATACACTCACGTGTGTGTGTCGAAAATGAATTTCAAGGCACTTGATACGACGTTGCGAAATGATGACGTCGGTATTGTTGTTTTTTTTTTTGATCGCTGCTCTTTTTTTGGAATAATCTTTTAAATACACCCATGTGTTTATGTTTCCGAGGCGTCAATTTGACGTATGGATTTTTCATCGTTGGCAATATCAATGGTAGTTTATTCGCCGAGAATGGCGCCCCTCGCTAAATACAACGACAAACCAATTTGTTTTGAATTCAATTTGCCGTTTGTTTACTCACTTTTATGGCAAACAAACCGAAAAATGTATATCAAGCAAATAGTTGGTTTCTCCATTTTTTTTTTGCTCTTGGTCATGCAAAACATGCCATTCCCGCACAATCAACACTGATAAAATAGTGCTAACAACAGCATGAATTCCATTCAAAATCTCATTATAATTTGGATTTGTTTTTTCGGTTTCGAGTTCAAGGGAAAAACTCACAATTTCGTCTTGTGCCGATTGCTTGTCTGTTCGTTCTCCGGCTGTGTACGAAAACAATGCGTTTCGAGTGATTTTTATGAACGTCAGCAAAAAAAAAACGTGCAAAAATGAAGGAACGAAATGTCACACATATGCAAATGCATTCGAGCGTTATCATTTGTTTGATGAAATTTGCATTCATTTCGAAATCGAAGCATTTCGAAATCTATTTATTTCGAAATCGACACACAGTGCTGTTTCTCTCTTGTTCGACAGTCATTTACATCAGTCGCTCGATCTCTCTCTCTCTCTCTCTCTCTCTCGTTCTCTCAATGAGACTCTCGTTCTCATTCATTTTCTCCCTCTCTCAATCTCTCCCATTTTCTCTCTCCGTGAGTATTTCTCACTCTCCTTTTGTCTCATAGTTACTCTCTCACCCTCTATCTCACTCTTAGTGAGTCTCTCACTCTCTGTCTCAATGAGACTCTCTTACGCCCACCCTCCCGCGTTCCTTCATTCGATCATGATTTCCGAATGCAGGAGCAGGAGCAGCGAAACTCGACTGAATGTACAACGAATGCAGCGAGAAAACAGCGCAAATCAAAGGAAATTCACTAGAATGATTCGATTGTAAAATGAGATAGAGACAAGAGAATTGACCAACAAATCGCGCACAGCTCATAAATAATGAATCGTCGAAAAAGTCAGCAGTAAGAATCGAAATATGACGATATCATTTGACTACACTGCGATAAATGTGACAGAAAGACGAAAAAAAAATGTGTCTGAATCAACAGAAAAAAAAACTAGAGGCACGAGAGCGCCAGCCAATTTGCTGTAAACAAATTCTGTGGCTTAAAAAATAATTGCGATGATTAAAAGAGCGAAGGAAGCAGTGAAAAACATAGAAACAACAGTTGAATAGAGAGGACGAGTACATAGTGAAGGAAGCAACGTATATGTGCAATCCACTTTTCTGTTCACAGTTCTTCTTGAAACGGGGCACATCGAATAAACATCGTATGTTGTTGTTTGTTTGCCGATAGTGCGTCATATTCGATTGCTCTAATCTTATCTTTTGATTAACCTTTTCGGTAGTAAAAGTTGCTGTGTCGTTTTTTTTCCCGAAGCAAACCCCTCAAAACTTGACAGCTGCTGATGTTGCTGATGTTGCATAGACGCACATACAAAAAGCTGATACGTGCACTGATCTCAATAATCTATTTACGTCCGAAATGTGTGCACACAATGGCTTCAAATCTCAAGCGTCAAACATTTATTTAAATTCTAATTTTGGAATTGAAAACAACAACAACAACAAATCGTACTCGTTGATGGATTTGTTATCGGTTGTGTCGGACCGCAAAGCAATGCCTTTGAATCGGTTTGCTGCGGACAATTTTCGAACAACTGTTCCATTTTTCTTTCTTCTGTCATAAAATGACTTGCCCACATTCAATCACCAAGGCTACAAATGTCAATCAATGAACACCAATTAACTGTTTGATGTCTATTTTTGAACCACATGCAAATCGATGGGTCTCTTTTTTCGTTCACTCTTCATTTATTTCTGATTTTTTTTTTTTCGAATCTTCTTTTTCTTCTTTTTCTTCGTGCAATCGATTGTTGATATGTGCTAAAGCACCAGCTCGCTACTTTCCTTACATCAAAGTGGACCCCCTAACATCACAGCAAAATATCAGCGATTTTTTCTTCGTCCACCGTTTATCACATTTTTGCGAATTATTTGTGTAGAACGCATAATTTTTCTTGCCTCATCATTGCCGGCATGACATGCTGTCCACTTGTTATTACATACACGCTGCCGCTGGTTCCGTATCGCCTCTATTCGGTCGTAAAGACCGAGTTTATCGTATTATTGACATGCCCGCTCTCACCACAAACTACGTAATCACAAGCAGCAGCGCGCAACAGCCCGTTTGCAGTCAACGTTTCAAATCAAGCGAACGTGAATGATAAAAGCAACGCATTATTCATTCCGCTTGCCTCCGCTTGTTTACAACCAAAATCGAAGCGATGCGAACAAACGCATAATCTACGGAAATGAATGCCATTTAATCCATGATCCCGATGACCGGCATTTGCTTCCGAAGACATTTTTTGTGATCATTTCAACAAATTTGTGATCGGGCGATTGAAGGTGGACTTTCGATTCGTATTTTGTAGAATAGGCAAAGGGAAAATGTGTTGGAAAAATGCCGGAGATAATTTGAAGAACGCTGTAAAAACGAAAAAAAAACCGGAAAAAGATGAAAATACCGAAAGAAGCCTAAAGAGGCTGAAAAACAAAAAAAAATATTGTTAAATGTGAAGAAAATACTGAAAAAGGTCAAGAAAAAGCCTGGAAAAGACCAAAGAAAAGTAAAAAAAAGCCAAAAATTAGTGAAAAAGCCCAGAAAGAATACAAAACGTCCGAAACAAAGCTGAAAAAGGCCGAATTGGCCAAAAATCGACCAAAAAACCCAGGTCAAATGTCGTCGAAGAGTACAAAAACTGCCGCGAACCTAATGAATTCTCTGATTTCTCTCTCTCTCGCTCACTCTCTATCTCACTCTCTCTCTCACTCTCTCTCTCTCTATTCGTTCATCAACCGTTGCATTTCGTTCCAATTCATATCATCGGTGTTCATTTCTCATTGAGTCCCATCTTCATTCCTCATCACTGGGATGAGAACATCCCACCTGAAACAAAAATCAATTCTCCGGCAAAATTCCATTAAATTTCTCATGTCGCATTTTCACACCAAAAAGTGTTGTGTTTAACCGATTTTCTCTGCATCGATCGAAATGTGATCGCAAAACTCTTTGGACCAAAACAAACCCATTTGAAATTGTTGTTAAAGCTGCATCAAAATCAGCAATTAAATCAATCTAACCAGTTTTTTTTTTGCTTTTTCTGTTCTTTTTTTTTATATTAAACAAAATCCTGATTGCACAACCCACCCTAATTCGCTCGTGGATAACAAAATGTTTACGCTAATTCTGCACTTGCACTTATGCATACATAAATAAACAAACACACAAAACCAAAAAAAAAATGTAAACACGCATTACAACCTACGCTTCGCAATCAACTGCAATTCATCCCTGTCCGTAAAATTCGTGTGAATTTAAATCCAATAAAAATAACGACAACCGATCGATTCAAAACTCAAACCGATGCATATCGATGATCAAAAATGGGATCGCGATCAGATGTTTGGATGAAGAAAAGCTATTTCCAGCGTCAAAGCCGTTATTTTGCGAAGAGAAGAGTGTTGATCCTTATTTTGAGGTAAAATGCTGTCGAAGTGATAATTGTAACAAGTTTTTGCGATTTGATTTGCCAAAACGAGGTGAGATCTACAAATTCATTTGCCCATCTCAACCACCTTCCTGTCCCCTATGCTCATCATTCAAAACAGAGATTGTTGTTGCATAGCAAACCAGTGTTCATCTCACCTCTTTAGTCGTGCAGTCTTGTTCATTTCCATACACAAAAAAAACGATTCGCAGTTTGTCCGTTGTTTAAATTTGCATGCATCGAACGTGTCTTTCATCCATTTTCACCAGTGTGTATTTCGCAATTTGGCGGGTAGAAAAGAAAGCATTAAATGTCGTTAGACATTTTAGAGTTGATGTGTGTCGCTGAATTGAGAAAAAAAACAACTCTTTCTCTTGTGACTCACAAAAACGCTCATTTTTCATCGTTCCGTTCTCGTTGACGACAATGTGTTCCATTCGATCAGTTTCATTTGTGTGTCTATATCTGTGGGTTAGAGCATATCTGTATCTGTATTTTGTTTATAGCAATCGGCCCCATGAAATCAAAATACATTGCATCTCCCTTGTCAGTTCAATAACTTGTTTTTTTTCCCTTCATACGCTCTCTCTCATCTCTCGGAACAACAACAGCAAACAAATCCATTTCATAAAAACAAAATGCCAAAACATGATAACGGCTGTTTCCATTTTGGGGGGGAGGGGGGTTCCTTGTACATGTTTCCATTTGTGTGTGTCTTAATGTTCGTCTTTCTCTCTCTCGCTCTCTCTCATTCGTCCCAATCTGTCATTATTTATTATTATTTGTATAACATCATCCTTATCTTATCGCTCATGTTAAATAAGTGTCTTTTGTCTTCACTGATCTGATCCAAATTGACTTAAACAACCGAAGGATGAAAATAAGAAGCAGCAGATAGAAGCAAGTTGACTTCAAGCAACGATTTGGAGAATCAACCAATTGCACGACGCACGATTCGTTTACACGTCGCCGTCGTCATCGTCGTCGTCGTCGTCGCCTTAATCAATGCACTCGTACGAAATGAATTTCACGCCTAAAATCAAATCAAATCACATCAATGTCAAATCATCCACTTTGCGAATACGATGACTTTTCAATTGGATGCGTGTTCCAATTTTTTTTTCGGTGTTCGCTCGTCCGAATTCACTCATTTTCACATGATTATTTGTTCGTTGTTTTTTTACTTCGTGTTTTGACAAATGTCTATATGTGCAGTCATCCAGGGTTTTTTCAACTGTTTTTTTTTTCGTATACCGTTCCGTTTTAGCTCTTTGTCGGTGGCATGATAACAAATGGCAACAAAATCAATCCGTTTATTTTTCATTGTTAGTAGGTTATTTTAAGCAATGGATTCACTTGAATATTTTTATATTTATATACTTGATATGGATTTAGATGTATAAGCATGCTATTCCCATTGTTTTTTCTTCCGTTTTGGTTGGATGCTATTAGCCAATATTTGGATGCCAAACTACATCAAATTACATGATTCCCAGTTCGCAGTCAATTTTCGGTTTTTATTCCACATTTTTCATGACTTATTTATACCAATCCAACTCCACCTTTCGGTATTTTCTGTTTATTCAGTTGTTCGTTTGTGTATTTTCAGCGTGTGCATTTTGGGTGTACTTTTTTCAATTTTAGCTTTTTTTAATATTTTGTTCGTGTAATGTGCATCATTTTTCAAGAGCAGATACCATTGTTATGCCTTAGCTTGCATGGAATTTTTTATTTATATTTTTTATACACTAAAATATTTTGTGCTGTCTCCATTTTTTTAATGCAATTTTTATCATTCGATTTAAACATGAATTTTAGTTGCTTTTTGTAAGTAGTATTGTGTTGTCTAATTGTGTGTGTTGTTCTTACTAAACATAGTAAACAAAAATTATATCAAAATACATTTCTAGTGGTAAAATGACACACGTGAACCAGATTTTGAATTGAAGTAAAGTAAACACTGACTTTGTTTTAAAGACCGACTTTGGCAGGAAACTTTGGAAAAAAAATAACAGGAAAAAAGGAAATTCGTCGCTCAATTGATTGAATGGTGAAATAAATTAAAACTTTTTTTCATTATTTAAGAAGAACTAACGTTTTCTGATTAGAAGAGTTAGAGAAAGGAGTAAAACGTTTCAAATATGAATATTCAGAATTGATTAAAATTACATATTTAGAAGAAGAAAATTCTCAAATTGAGCAAAATTTTTGTAAAGCCAATCCAAGAGGAAAACAGTGAAAAATCTTAAAAAAATTTAAATTACTCTTGTGCACATTTTCTGACTTTGATAACTTGATCATTTTTTTTTTGCAAACAAATCTATGAGTGACTAATAATGATTGCAACAGTCAACTCATTTGGGGCATTTTGATTATACTTTGTACGTACTTTAATTGAAATTTCAGTCACTAGACAGTTAAAGTTAATATATTTGGCTGACTAAACCCGCCAACTTGATCAAATTGGTTCCAAGATCCATCTATTTGTTCAAGGATTGTTGAAATTGAATAGAATTTTAATCCACAGTACGTTCAAAAAATCCAATCAAAATAACCCAAAAAAAATAGATAAAAAAAATATAACACCTCTCCGTAATAACGAGCATGCATCCAACTAGAAGTCAATATTTGTTGCACAAGGGTAATTTGTATGAAAAATCACCAAAAGCAAACATTGTTCGTACTTTGTTGCAAATGATTTTCATCCAAATTAAAATTTTATTTATTTGTTTTTTTTATATATTTGTAACCATCGTGATAATCTCGCAATCACTAATCTCGTACACGTGAACATATAAATATGTTTACAAACTGCAACATGTTCGTTACGAGTACTTGTTCTTTTTTTTTATCCAAACATCACTTCCGCGAGTTTATCTTATCGAGGGAAAAGAGCATTCCGCTACATATTATTTCTTGATGTTTGATGCTAAAAACAACCGAAAAGACGGGTTTTGGCAACTTTTTGGAAGTGAATGGAACTTTTTGGAAGGAAGTAATTTCTTTCATTTGAAAATCATTTTTTGTTCACTAAAAATAACAAGAATTTCGAATTTTGTGAAGCAAACAAGAAAATGAACTAAAGAAAAATTTAGAAAAAAACTACAAACAACCTAAAATTGATTCCAAAAAGAGAAAAAGTAGAAAATTTTAAATAGAAAGCATGAAAAATTTGAATTTGGAGGAAAAAAAAAATCATTCAACAAAGTCACGATGGTCACGTGTTGTATGTTACCACTGGAACAAGAATCGGTCACATAAATTCAAGCATAACATTAATTCCATTTTTCAAATGCCAAATTTCCAAATGAATTGCTGTTGCGATTCGATAAAAACCATAAATTTCCCACATTAAAACCGTATTTGAATGCTTTCAGTAGGTAGTTTCTATTCGGAGCTAACGACCTGGGAATTGATCTTCATGATATTTGGGGCAACATTGCTATTTTGTTTGGTCACTCTATCGAGCTATTGGTACATGCAGCGTCGCAAGCGCGGCGTCCTCCGTTCTGGCATGCGTCCATTCCTACCATCCGAAGACTCGGTTTGTGATCCAATTCTCAATGGTAACACCATCCAAGACATTATCGAAATGACAACGTCCGGCTCTGGATCAGGTTTGTTGCAGCAGCAAATTTTTTTTTTGTTTTAGACCCGCATTTTTCTTCTATTATTCGTTGATTAATGAATGTCTTCAGCGAATAATGAAAGGAGATGATTAGAAGATGGTTCCAAATTGATCGATAGTTGGGACATGTGTACTAATGATTTGTATTTGCAGCTGGTCTTCCGTTGTTGGTGCAGCGATCGATTGCCCGTCAAATTCAGCTGATCGAAGTGATTGGCAAGGGTCGATTCGGTGAGGTGTGGCGTGGTAGTTGGCGCGGCGAATTTGTTGCCGTCAAAATTTTCTCTAGTCGTGAAGAGTGCTCATGGTTCCGCGAAGCCGAAATCTATCAAACAGTCATGTTGCGACACGAAAACATTCTCGGATTCATTGCAGCTGATAACAAAGGTATCTATGAACTTTCTCTTATTGAACGATCAATCTCAATATAAATATTTTCCCCTTCAATTGACTCTTTTGCGGAGAAAATTAATTTTCATTCTTTGTCGTCGTTTAGATAACGGAACATGGACACAATTGTGGCTGGTCACCGATTTCCATGAGAATGGTTCGCTATTTGATTTCCTCACAATGAGAACGGTCGACACAAAAGTCATGCTGGCCATGGCACTATCGATTGCAACGGGTTTGGCACACTTGCACATGGACATCGTTGGCACTCGAGGTACATTTTACCATTCACTTTTTGCTTTTTTTTTATTTTGATCAACGCAAATAATTTTTTTCAATACACATTGAATTAATTTTAATCAAAATACAAAATGAATTGAATTCCACATTTTTATTGTTCATTTGTATTTGCAAAAAATGGATAAAATTTTCATATCTGCCTATTCAATGTTAATTTTTGTTCAATTTTTGAAAGAAAATTCAAATCTTCAATTCCGTCTTATAACGACGTCTCTATATCAGCTCAAGCTTCAATATTATAATTTTTTCTCTTTTATTTCAGGCAAACCGGCGATTGCGCATCGCGATTTGAAGTCAAAGAATATTTTGGTGAAATCGAATTTGACTTGTGCTATCGGTGATTTGGGATTGGCTGTTCGGCATGACATTAAAACCGACACCGTGGATATACCATCAAATCATCGCGTCGGCACCAAACGCTACATGTCACCAGAGGTTTGTTTTTTTACTGGCCATCTTCTGGCGTTTCTCCCGTTTTTTTTTCTTCTCCTTTTTCCCTCTGGCCTCTTTTTTCCTATTTTTCCTTTGACGTTGTCATTTTTTTATCACCTCACATTTAACTTGAATTGAAATATTCGACTATTTTTTAAATTTCCTCCAAAACTTTTCGGAAAATTCCATTAAAATGCTTTTGAACATTTTAAAATTCAGTATAATGAATATTCCCATATAAAAATCTGAAAATTATGATTCATCTTCACAGGTGCTGGACGAGTCAATGAATATGAATCACTTCGATTCGTTTAAACGGGCCGATGTGTATGCGTTCGGCTTGATTTTGTGGGAGATAGCGCGACGATGCAATTTCGGCGGTGTCTATGATGAATATCAATTACCATACTATGATATGGTGCAACCAGATCCAACGATCGAAGAAATGCGCAAGGTAAAATCATCGCAAATTTCATTTTACAATTTTTTTTTAAAGGAAATTTCATATTTTCTGTGCCCTCAGCAATTTTTACTTCACCACAAGATAAAGATAGGGTCGAATTTTTTAAAATTTCTGTTGAATTTCACAGAAATTACTTTCGAAAAAATAGCATGGATCGTACTTTGTTTGAAGAATCTTTGTTTTAATTTCAAGAAATTTCACATTTTCCCTTTCAATTCAATCGTAATTCGAAATTAGGAAGCAAACTACGATTCAACTCAAAATGAACGTTAGTCTTTCTAATTCTTTCAAATTTCAGTGTTGAAACCTGATAATAAATATTCTGTTTGAAAAAAATTGTTCTGATCCAGAACTTCTGAAACAAATTGAATGGTTTTCCTTCATTATTTCGGTATTAAGGGATTTGAAGTAAAATTTCAAAGAAGAACTAAAATTCATTGAAGAAAAAAAATTTAAACCAATATTTTGAAATGTTTCTTTCTTTATTTCATCATTTAACACACAGTAATTTTAAGCACAACAAGAAATGTAGAGCTATTGTATTTGTTGTTTATTATTTATTTCACAACCAAAATTAAATTCCCTTTCTCTTCAATTCCCGCAGGTGGTATGCGTGGACAAACTGAGGCCGAGTATACCAAATCGATGGCATGTATCGGACGAGCTGTCAATCATAGCGAAGGTGATGCGTGAATGTTGGTATCACAATCCAGCTGCTCGGCTGACGGCATTGCGAATCAAAAAGTCTCTTGCATACCCGAAAAATTATGACGAAAAAAATAAAATCAACTGCACTTAAAAAGGGCGTTAGTCTATTAGCTTCGCTTCAGGATCTTTAGATTTTATGGAATTTTTTTTTTAAAATTTGATAAAAACAAACTTATTTCATTGAGTGTTTTGTATATAAGAATTGATCATAAATTAGCATTTTTAAGACAAAAACTAAAACCATAAGAACAAATAGATGAAACTGTCATTAATTTCTCTCCATTTTATTTGTATCTAAATTTTATGAGATATTGATATTACATTCGAATTAAAGAAATAAGTAAAAAAAAAAACAAAACAAAAAAAGAAACAAGCTATTTAGTAACAGTAAATACATAAGGTATAACACAAAAGGCAAACCACACACAAGCACACAATCAATGTGATCGCCTAAAAGTCGATGTCGAATTATTGAAAATGATTATGGGTATAGAAACAAAAAAAAATTAACAACAAAACGATTTTGTGTACAATTTACAAGGATACTAATTATTTGTGACCCATTTACAAGACAGTCACTGCTAAATGAGAGCGAAAAACACACATACAACTGTAGAAATATGTGTATAGTAAACTGGTTTGAAATGCTCAATGCACACGTGATGGTATACCAATACTCGTCGCTAAAATCAGGACGAACCCATGAGTTCGAACGAGAAAAATGCAAAGAGAATAGCGCATTTATGAGACAAAAACTAAATATAAAAACAAAATTCATCAGGGAAATTAACAAAAAAAAAAATGCATGAATTAATCATTAGACACGAGATTTTTGAAGCAAAACAATTTAACCTTAAATCTTAACCGAAAACAAACCAATTCAAAAAAAATGGAAAAAATGAATAGGGTGGACAAAATGAGTGTTTTGCCACATGGTTGGGTATTTTTTTTACCTTTCGAATATGTCGAAAATGAAGGAAAATCACAAAAAAGGAACATAGCATAAATAGCTACGTAGTTTGTACATATCGTTAGATTTAAGATATAAACATTTAGAGAGTGAGCAGACAGAAAAAAAAATGCACAATCGATTATGATTGCAACAAAATATTAGGCACATAGGGCTTTAGACATATAATCTTCAATGAAAATGAGTGACACTTTATGAAATTATATGAATTTTATATGCAGGAAAAATCAATCCACACACACACACACATACACACCAGTGACCAATAACCTCAATCCATCGTTTTTTCTCTCCTTTTTTTTATACAAATAATAATTTTCCACAATGAGAGAGATATAATTGCCATGCTCGAAACCAAACAGACTTAAAGAAAATATACCCGAAGATTTGAATATTCATCCGAATAAACACTGAGGAGTTCAGCTATTTTCGAAACAGATTTTTTGCAAAAGCTTCTTTTTAAACAATATTCGCACCATGATTTTTTTTTTCATGGAAAATTGAACATTTTTGTCAATATTCATCGAACGATTTTTATACCGAAATAGATAAAAAAAAATTTTAACGAAATATTCACTTTTATACCGACAAAAAACACTACTTTTACCTCGGAAGACGAGATTTTGAACTGTTGCTTAACGAAAAATACCTCAAACAGCGCAGCTAAGCCTGAACTCATCTGTTGACTGAACCCATTGACTGAAATTCACGAACACAAAATTTGCAGAACGATTTCGAACTGAACTATTCGTGATCAGTTCATGGGCAGCTCTAGATTGAACTCTTGATTGAACCCATCCGTTTAACAAATTTCCGCATCGTTCTTCGGTGTGAATCAGTCAGAAATCGGAAGCGGGCCTAAAAATTGGCCAGTTTCAATCAGGATTTACTAAACATCATCATAGGCTATGAAGTTCCTTGTTCAGAAGGTACTTTGATTATTCAGTCAAAGAGCTATAGTCTATATAGCCTATAGCTATTCATCTACTTAAAAACCTCCAAATATACAAATGAGAGGATCAGACTAATATGAGGATCAGAAAAACAGGCTCATGCTGTATGTGTACAATGTACACACTGAACATCCATAAACTATTCCATAATAGACGGAATCAATTGCCAAAAAAATAACACTGCATCGAGTCGACTTTCAATAGAATTTCTCATATCAAAACCGATATTCTTCTTTAGAAATACCATCACTTCCTTCTCTCATTTCATATACAAAGCCAAAACCCTGTCTGTTTCAAAGAAAATTCCATAGATTTTAATCGTTTTTTTTTTCTCTCTCTGTCCCTCCAGTCATTGATTCCATATAATTACCCTGTCATTTATTTAATTCCCAGTTTTCCATGATAGAATTTTATGTAAATGTGTACATATAAACCACTCGCCCTCTCTTTTGCTTAGGAAAAGAAGAAGAAGAAGACGAAAAAGTAGTAGAAGTAGAAGAAGAAAGGGACAAAAAAAGGCGAAAGGTGAAAACTATGAAAAAGAAAAGGAAACAAGCAACAAAGCAGGAAAATAGCGGTGAATCCGTTGATTTTGAGACAAAAGAGATGCAAACATGTTAAAACATATTCAGGTTTCAAATGACCTGAACACAAAAAACTACACACACACACACATATTACGCGGAAAATCATTTTTAAGTTGTTTATAAGTGTCACGAATGTACGGTATGCAGTGCGCGATTTTGATCGTACGTGGCATTGTACACGTTTGCGCGAAATCGAAACACATTGCATGCAATACATTTGAATGGGCAAGCGGAATAATGAAACGTAATTCTGTTTTTAAATGAAGTGCCTCTGAGAAAAATTTTCAGTAAAAAAGCCCCACAAAAATATTGTCTGAATAAGATTTTCATACAAATTTTTATCAGACAATATTTTTGTGGGGCTTTTTTACTGAAAAATTTTCTCAGAGGCACTTCATTTGAAAACAGAATTACGTTTCATTATTCCGCTTGCCCATTCATTTCTAATTAGCCATTTTTTTCCATTAGATCATGTACCTTTAGAATTACCTTTTAGACGATAAAACAAAATAAATATTTAGGTTAAATTGAACATGAAAATGAATAAACAAACAAAATGAAAACATAATGGGAAAATGTAGGAAAAAACAAACCCAACCAAAACATACACGCATTTGCTGTGCCTGCCGATAATGGGGAATTTTTTTTTTCGAATTTTGTACACAAACAAAAACAAATAAAACACACACCTTCAACACATGATATTTAAAAATAACAAATAGCAACACAAACACATATCCCCACCACCTCCTCCCTGCACACACACACCACACAACCTACCCCATAAATGAAGACATCTTTTTTTCTCTTATTTATTTTATACGTTGTATTTTGTTTTTGAACAGTTTTTTTTGTTGACCATACAATAAATCGAAGCAGACCGTGCTTTGTTCCGTATACGAGAAATTATATGCTTTGGGTTTTTCTTTGTATTTTGAATTTTTATTTAGATTTTTTTTTTCCTGCAAATATTTTTTCAAAGATATCTTTTTTTGAAGGATTTTCATTTAGTTCTGAGCTCAATGCCTTATCATGGCTCAATGAATCTTAGTAAAATGTTCCCGTTGATTAATTCTCAGTTCGAAACGGTCATTTTTAACATTTTCGCTACATTTTGTTTGAAGCTATGCCCATTTTCCAACCCGTGCCGCAATTCTACGAAAACACTGCGAAAATATTGTTCACACTGCGGAATGTCGTAAGACATGAATGATCCTGTAGAATGTGTGGGAACTGATTTTGAATTTGGCAGAGTATTGAGTCGTGAGTACGCTGTCTGTCCATAGGACAGTATCCATTATCCAATCGCTGCTGTTCAATAGCCGCTGGTAACGCATATGGTGTAAGGAAGAAATGACGGACAGCATTGACAGCGGCTGTTGAATAGCAGCGCCTGGGCAGCCAGTGTACTCAATGCTCTGGAATTTTGAATCGTTTCATTTATTTTTTTTTTCGTTCTCTTGAAGGAATTTGAGCGAGCAGACAAACGAAATTCAGCAATCGAAATTTTTCAGAAGACATTCAAGCTGCCATTCTCTGAGTAAGAGAGCGAGAGAAAAGTTCAAAGAGTCTCAAAAACGAAAAACAATTCAAACAAACTCGAATTGTTCACAATGCAACAATTTCATTCAATGACAACGGCCAAAATCGAGTGAAAAAAATTCGCATTCATTTGATCGAGCAGAAAATGGGGTCGTATTCATTTAGAATTTCGTTCTATAGGAATTTTCATGTAAATTTTAACTCTTCACAGTGAATTTCAACTCTTCACAGCTGATTTCAATCTAAGCGAGAAACAAAATACACATTCATCTTCTTCGCCTGGATTGTCATGGCATGAAATAAAATGTTATGTCATTCAAATTGATTACAATTCGTTTTTTTTTCGTCGGCAAATTGTCCACGCAAACAAATTTCCATATTCCATATAGCAACTGCAAAATGATGTTCATCGTTTCAAGCGCTGGTACACACGGGTACAAACAAATATGATTCATCATCGCATTTGCAAACAGAGAACAGAAAATTACATGTATATCGTTTATTACGTTTATAGTAATGACAAAAAATTCGTTTTTGTTCAGCGAAATGTTTGGGTTTTTCGTGTGAATTTGCAAATTATATTTTGCATACAAAGTTCGTACTATTAACTCGTACACGAGTATGGAAATGACACAACTCGCCAATTTCGAACAGCCAGAAAAAAATCAATAACCTAATTATCTTTTTTTTCCCTTTTTGCCAAGCGAATTTTTTTCAAGGTTGAGTTGGGGATTCTCTTCTTCTCTTTAATGAAATTTCGGTAATTTCAAATAGTTTTTTTTTACAGAATTTTTCAATTTTCTGCGAATCAACGTGTTGGGCGACGAAATTCATTATCGATTGAGTTGTTTAATGTGAAAAATTAATTCTTTAATTAAAGTGATTCCAAAAAAAGATTATGCTTTATTTCCGCCTTTCAATTATGCCATAGAATGCCAAACCACAGAACGAAACACTGTCACATCAAATTGAATTGCATGCAAAATGATCAGGAAATTTTTACTAGCATTTTTTCCGTCGAAAATAAGGAACTTTAATTGAAATATCTAAATGTAATGAAATTTAAGGCAAAAAAAAAAATAAAACATTGATGTAAGTTATATTTTATTGAAGAAAAAACAACAACAGAAATCATTGGGAAAAATTGTCATTTTGTAAGCTTAATTATTATTAATGGCATTGAACTGCCGAACAAATGGCGGGCGGCCAGGTGGCAAACAATTAGTTTTCTGATATTTGATAACAAAAGATATGAATCACTCACTTCACAATTCTGACAAGTGAGACACATTTTAGACAGCTGCTACAGAAAAAATTATATTTATACATGCATAGTAGGCATTGAGATAAGTGAAAATTCAAGATACAACCTATTTATACAGATTATTGATTAAAAAAAACACAACAATTCACACAAATCGTATGGTAACGCACTGGTGTTTGATGCGGCGGTGATGGCCTTTGATTAGATTTCTTTGACCCTGATGATTGATTATTCGGATATGAAAGTTTGGTTGAACGCTTTGGTTAAACGCTTTCAAGATTTTTGCTTCAACATCCTAGTATTTCTACCTGGTAACTAACCAACCAACTTCTTCCATGGCAATCAACTGTCATCCATTACTGAATCAGAGTTTCAATTGAAAATCAGTTGTTTTTTCTTGGAAAATCGCTTGTTAGTTAAAATTCCCCAATCCTTAGCAAAAATGGGAGAAAATCTTCAAAAACAGGCTGAAGTCTTCAGCAAATTCAATTTGATTGGAATTTGTTTTGTCCAATTAAAATTCCGCTTCAAAAGCGAAAGCTATTGCCCAATTTTCTCTATTACTTAAGCTACTTATAAGTAGAACATGTATGGTCGATCAAATAAACAACCCAAAATCGATCGCTTTTTTTCTCTAATTGGTAAGGAATTTTATGGCAATGGCCGCCCATCTTGTTCATCAGTCGTTCCGTCGGTGTGAATGAAAAAAAAAATGTATTAAGAAAAATGACCTGACATTTACTGAGCAAAAAAAAAATGAGAAAAATAAAATACCTACGTTTTAGCGATTAAGACACTTATAACTAAGTTACAACTAACTAATTATTCTGCGGCGCATCGATTTTTTACTTGAACATGGGAAATTCAGTTTAGGTCATAACGATAGGTTTTATATTTGATTTTATTTTTTGTTTGTAACTTTCGTTAATTTTGTACGAATAACAATTTAGAGAATGAAATAGCATTTGGTTCATTAAAGCGAACGTGGAACAAAACTAAGAAAATTATCTAGTCTCATTCAGCCAAGCAGTTAGCAGTGCTCACAGAGTACGAATGGGGTGTTGCTGGAGAAATGAATGGATGTCAATATTTCCTGACAGGTTTAACTCGATACGCTTTTTATCGCAATATTTCCAAGGCCCACGATCGCTCACAACTGCAAATCGTGAGCGATCGTCGGCCTTGGAAATAGCACATTTAACTTGAGTTAAATCCTGTATATCGTTTCTAATCACGTCATTCATGACCCAATCGATAGACATGCCGTGAATTTTCGTCGGTGACGATTTCAGGAACGTAAAATTGAATCTGATTGTTTACAGACAAGTATTTTTCAGTGGAAATTTATTTTTCAAAAAAGAAAGTTCTTGAACAACATTTTTGAAAAAAAAAAATCGATCAGGTTCAGATGTGGTCAAATCAGGACACCTCAATGTTCTGAGATTGTTCGAAAGCAAAATAAGTTGAACTTTTTTTAATGGAATGATGAAAAATGAATGTCATTTGTGAATTAGATCAAATCGCAATGCGAAAGGAAAAACAGTTTTGATTCAATCGAATTTTGTTGAAAAAAAATATTCAAAAAGACGAGATAAGTCTCCAGCAAGAGCTCATCCGTTTGTCATCACTGTCTCAATTTGAACAATACTGTGAATATTCTACGATTAACAAATAATTAATCCAACCGCTAACACATTTGAATGCTTCCCTTCGAGAAAAAAACGTAACATATAACGAAAAGACAACTGACAGACACACATTTTTGAAAAACACACTTTACTCGATAGAAAAACCAAAACAAACTATTTCATATAAGATTTTTAACAAATCGTTCAGCGAATGTTTCTCATTTTGCTCCAATTATACAACATAAACAGCCATTTAACAAACTATTACAAACAAACAAAATGAGATGAGATCAAGACAAATGAACGACCGTAAAAAATTTATACATGAGAAGAAAAAAAAAGAGAAAAAACAAATGCATCTATTGATATTATTACAATGAAAAGTTTTATATAAACGACTGTTGGGTGAAACGATTAATGGAGAAATTGTCGATCATCGCAGGTGATGTCGATTAATGTTTGGACAATTTATTATGGAGCCAGTTCTTGTTTTGCCTGGAGTTTTTTTTCTTCCTGTTTTTTTATATTTGTTCAAATTAGATTTTTTTTAATTAATTTTTTTCTTCTTTATTTTAATTTCAATTTTTTGAAAAGATTTTCTGAGAAAATTCTGCCGTTTTTGTTTCAATTGTTCTTTAGGGTGGCGGTCATAACGCCCCGGACGGACAGCATACTCTAATGTAATAGAGAACACAGAAAGAACACCGAAGCATGCTATCCATCCGAGGCGTTATGACTGCCACCCGTTCTCTATAGAAACCAATGATTATTAGTTGCAAAAATTGTAAATTTTTCCTGTAAATTTCCGTTTGCTGTTTATTTTCGCTTCCTGCCTTTAACACTAAAATAAAATTTGTAGGTTAAACGAAGCGATTTTTTTTCTTTGATATTAAAAACGTTTATCAATCAAAATATATTCACAAATTCCAAAGTTTTTGAATTTTTCCGTTTCATTTTCGGCTTTCACGTACCTTTTTACACTTTCTTTGTTCTTTGGCTAACCGATGGAGTATGGATTCAAAGAATAGAAATAAATGAAATGACAGAACAAATAGAGTGTGCTTTAATGACAACAAAAATAAATAAATATGAAACCACTTGATTTAATAAAGAGAATTGTTTCAATAATTATGGCATTTTTTTTTATTCACAATATTTCTAACCCATCTGAAAAAAAATATCCCATAGTATTCTTTTTTTCAAAAAACCAACAATCGTTTTTCAATTTGCAAATTATATTTTGCATCCAATCAAATTTCGGTAATTTTAAGTCGTTTATTTTTCACAGCTAAGTTTAAATTTTCTACGAATTATGTCATGAGCGACGAATTTTCATAATCGATTGAGTTGTTGGCAATAATGAATAAGATGCATGATATTCATCACTGTTGTCTCATATCAAAATCTCAAATGAGTAGTTTGGAGTGAAAATGTTATACAGAAAAGTTAAGCGGAAAAATGTCGATGATGAATTAGCGGAAAATGGTAAACTGTATAGTAAACTATAGTGAACTATATAGCTATCTTTTTTCATTTGACATTTTTCCTCTCAACTTTTCTATATAACATTTTCGCTCCAAACTATTCAAATGCAATTAGCCAACACTGTTGTGCTGCAATTCGGTCCTAACGAAACTTCCATTGGATTAACCGAATAATTTTGGTTAAAAATTAAGCGGAAGGTAATTGAAAATGCTGCAGTATGGAAAAGTTTGGATTACTTGATGTAATTCGTTTTATTTTTGATTTACTTTTATACGGGGGTTAAAATCCAAAAGGTGATAAAAAAATCGATTCAAAAAATGCATCAACGATTTATTTTTAGTAGCACCCGAAATTTGAGTTAAAAATAAAAGAAAAATGAGGCTCATTTTTATTTCATTAAAATCTAGTAGAATGAAATAATTTCAGTGATGGCTTCGTTACCTTAAGTATACCATACCTTTCGATTTTTGTTTTTGCAGATATTTCGCTTTCCTGAAAAAAAAAATTCCTTGTGCAAAAACATTGACTACTGAATTAAGTCAATGAACCAGAGAAAAAAAAAACTGTTGTTCTGACAAAATTCGAGTCACCATAGTCAAAGAAATTTGCACAAGCATAGCATTCGGAATCCGTTCTAAACGAAAAGAAATCAGAATAAGATAAAACAAGCAAGAGAAAAGGAACGAACACGATTTTCACGTTTTTCAGTCGATTTTCTTCGATTTATTGAGACTGTATTCAAAAGTGGTCTCCTCGAAGATGGTTATCATTACAATTGAATGTTGTAAATTGGTTGTTTCTTTCAAATGTCCCTTTCTCCGAAATGGGGTATTTCATGTTGATTTGTATCCGTTTGTCGGGCATATTTCATCTCAAACAACGATTGTGATAGTAAAATAGTTGAAGCTCAGAGTTTGGTTAATTCAAAAAAAAAAAAAATAAAGGGAGCGTGGGAAAAAAGTTCACAAATAAAAGCAAAAAAAACTATGATAGAAAATGAAGAAGGATTAAATTGAATATTATTTTCTATGTGCCTATTATTTTATCCGGGTTATTTTCTTCAGTATGGGATATTATTCACGGCAATCAGATAATTTTGGGTAAAACATTGAAATCGATTGGTTCATTTTTGTGTATTCATTGGATGGCTGAATGGCCATTCGACGTTCTGACATGTTAGTCTAATAAAAAAAAATCCAAAAGATTTTTGTTTTGTTTTCTTCATGTGAAACACGTATTAAATCTGTATGTGGAAATCTTCGTTTGTGAGTTCTGGGTAAAAAGAAAATTCAGAGAGAAATCGAAGTTGCCTAGGTGGCAAAAACAAAAATTTAACATAAGAATAAAAGTGACCAATTGAAAACGGGTACATAGTACGTCATCATTTTGCCTTCTTGTTAGGATCATTGGTTGGATTGTTGGACCAAATGGAGCTCAGCGAACTAAATAAATCGTACTGCATTGGATCGGTTTGGGCCGTTTGATTCTGCTGCTGTTGCTGCTGCTGCTGTTGTTGTTGTTGCTGCTGTTGCTGCGCTTGCTTTTGAATCTGGAATAAAAAACCAACACATTTTTGAGTTAGAATTTGATTTTTTTCCATTTTTCCGATTTTCTAGGTTTCTTTCCGATTCCAAATTGTCTGGCAACTTTCCTTAAGGGAAGTTACCAAAGTTCTTTAGAAAAATGTACTCAAAAAAACCCTCAATTCAAAACCAAACAAAACCAGTCGATCTGCGAAAAAGAAAACCAACCTGTTGCTGATAGTGAGCCCTGAGTAGGAGCTCCTGTTGCAATGTCCGTGGATCGGTCCTGTTGGCCGTATGACCAAAACCGGGTGGTGGTCGAATTTCGTGCGCATTCGATACGGCCGGCGATGAAACCGATGGCCAATACGATGTGGATGGCGTGGCTTGTGTCGCATCAAATACATTGTTCGAATTCCATAAACTATTTGGCGCTGACGAGTACATACTTTGCAGTCTCTGCTGAGCCAATTGCTGCGCAAAAAGAGAAACAATCATGAAAATTGGCAAAACAATCATGAAAATTGAAAATTAAAATTAAAAAACCAAAAATTCAAAACAAACCTGTTGCTGTTGCTGTTGTTGTTGTTGCAGTAGGTTCAACATGGCCGATTCCCATAGATTTTGTTTGCGTTGATCCATATTGGTGTTGCCGTACATGCCGTTCAAGAATCGTAGCACATCGGCATTTGGTTGTGGTTGACGTGCGAAATGATTGAATTGATCGTTAGCAGGTCGTTGATGTTGGTTCAGCATTTCATTCAGAACATTCTCGTTGCGTTGATAGTTTGCGGTTTGTGGATACATGAAGAAGCTGTTGGAATCGCCTGCTCCATTGCCACCACTACTGCTCCCAGCCAAACTGTTCAACGACGTATTGATTGGTATTGGATTGTGAATGGAGTGCATTGGTTCCCAGATCGGTGTTGATGATGGTGATTTTCGTGTACCAATCGGTCCCAAATCAACGCCCGGTGATGTTTTCTTACCATTACCATCCGAATGCACCAAATTCTCAAACGATGAATGACTTGAGAATGCATCGTCACCATTCAATTTCTTCATTCCTTTGCGATCCTTAGCTTTAGCTTCATTTTTCGTTTTACCAATCATTGGTTTCACACTTTTGCCATTTGATTTACTTGTCGATTGAGTTTTAATCACCGACGACAATGGGAACGATGACGGTTGTACATTTGGTTGGCTCGTTTTTATTTTAACATCGTATTGATGTTCGTACAGACTTTTATCCACCAAATCGAGCAACGGATGATTACCACTTGTCGATGATTCTTCCAAAGGTGATGAAAATTCAAATGCCGTACTCTTAAATGCCGAACAATTTGCATCCAATGATTTGCGATAGCCATATTGGTCATTCATTTTGGTGCGTTCACGTTTTTCACGGCCCGGTGTTTTCCCATTTAACATTTTCATGGCCATTGTGGATTTGTTGGGCGGTGTACCGAACGTTGCATAGAGATCCGCTGCGGTCGCCATTTTGATAGCCTCATCATCCAGACCACCACTGCCACTACCACCGTTGTCCATGGCATTTGTCAATTCAAACGAATCGTTGTGATGTTCATCGATTGTCGACTCATGGCTGCGATCCAACACGGATGATGACACATTTAATTCAACATCATGAGAATCATAAGTGAGCGGTAAACTTTTCGATTTTTTCACCACGATCTTTTTATCCTTCGATTGAGGCAGTACAGTAGCGCTGGTGGTGGCGGCCGTGGCAACGTTCGAGAGATCTTTGATGGATTTTTTCGCTTTTGTTTTCACATTTGGCGATTTATCATCCGAATGGCTTGAGCTTTCAGTTGTGGTCGATGATGTTTCTTCCTCTTCAAAATTGGCAGTCGGCGATTCGTCCTTTGGTCGTTTATCCTTTTTTCCGATACTCACAGCGGCTGCTGTTGCTGCGTTTGAGGCTGCGCTTGCTTGCGATGGCGGTGGTGGTGAACTTTTTGTTTTCAATTGTTTTGCATCCGATGATTTTTTCGGCGTAAATTTCTTGGCAATTTCCGTAATGTAGGACTTTTTCGAAGGGGCCGCCGTCACTTCAGACGATGGACATGGCAAACGTTTTTTCTCACTTGACCTTTTCTTACACACGCTACCATTTGCCTTTGCTGTGCATGCCAATGGTGTCGATTGAATCGATTGCTTTACCGATGCTGTTGCTCCAGCTGTACCTCCTGTTGCTGTGGCCGTGCTGGTCGATGTCGCAGAAATCGCTGAACCACCACCACCGTTGCTTGTTGACCCGCCTTTCGTTGCATCATCCGAAAAAAATGGGCTCTTCAAACCGATTTGCCGTAGATCCAATGCTGGTTGCAGTGAACCCTTCGCTTTTGACATATTCTCGACATGCACTTTAAGTACTTTCATTGAATCTAAGTAGGCGGCAAATAGAACGCACACAAATGATACGGCCAAAACAACGGCCGTTACATTTTTCATCATGGACTCCCATTCGGGTCGGGTTAATGCTTTGCTGCACACACCAAGCGATAACGGCGCAATCATGCTGAGCAGTGTATAATTGACGGAATAATTGAGCGATGTGTCTAAGTACAGCGTTTTCTTGACCATGGCCAACGTAAAATCGGGCGTAAATGAAATCTCAATTTTTCTCGAACCATTCGGTGGCAATTCAAACGGTGCACATTCCAATATTCGATAACCATAGCCTTCACATGGTAGATCATCGATACGTAGTTCATGCATAAGTATCGGCACTTCGCCGCTATTTTTGGCGGTAAATGTTCGCTTGGCTGTCACCGCACGCATATTCACATTCGGATGATTACAATCGCGTAAATGCTTATCGGTCAATTCGAAGAGTAGTGGCGTTTTTGAGCCCGGTTTTCGATTACCAAATTTAAATTGTGGCACCACCGATTTGGCCGTTATCCAAACGGCTTCCAGCACCGTAAAATTATTACGAATATACAGTAACGTTCCATATGTACCGGGATTCTCTGACATAAAATTCACCGTAATATTGTGATATGTTTTTGGTGGTATGACCGTAAAATTGGACGATGGCGATTGATGTTTTGTGTTACTGCTGCCCAATGAAAAGACGACGGCATCGGTGATGCGAGCATTTGTGCATTCATCAATAATGTCCGGCGGTAGATCAACATCGGCACCAAACCGTTCGCTATCGTGCAGATGATAGTGGATTTGTAGCGGCGCATTAAACGGATTGTAAATATTGACATGGCGCGTGAGTACGTGTCCAACTTGTGAAATGGCAAATTCAATGGGTCCTTTTCGCACCAATTTTGGCCACACAATTTCGATGCTGCCATTGAAATCGTAGCGCTTGATGTGATTGGTTTGCACATGAAATGTGAGCGCTTGAAATTTGGCCGACAACGCATGAAATCGATCCAATTGCTTTTTTAACAATAAAAATCGCTGGCGATTCCGTTCGACCGTTTCATCAATTGCCGCCGAAGACGACGATGATGATGATGATAATGACGCAGCAGCAGCTGTATTCAGGGCACAACGTTCATCACAGATTCGTGGTATTGCTATTTCTAATTGATCGATAAATGATTCACTTTGTGCGTCTATCACGGGCTTTTCACCATCCTCATAAATCACATACGGTGACTTGGCTGCACCATCACCGCCACCATGCTCCACACGCGACAAATTCGTCGTATGACACTCGTCAAATCCATCAAAGTCCGGCAACTCCATTGCTGACGCTGATGACGCTGATGATGATGATGATGATGATGATGAGGAGGCACTGCTGTCAATTTTCGATGCATTTTCCAAACAAACATTATTCACCTGAATCGTTTTTATATGCATCGATCGGGTGAATGTGGAATATGCCGTAAGGTTCACTTTGCAAACGCCACCCTGTAATGAAACAGAAAACAAAATTGAAGTAATTAGCTCATCAAATGAAACAGAAAAAATGAAACGGTTGGAGTGAGAGTAATTATTAGTTCATTGCGAACGGTAACTTCCAACATATTATGTCATTACAACTGCTTTCGCTGGTTATACCAACATAATTACAAAGTTGGTATGAGCGAGCACCACTCCACACACACACACACACACACACACTCTTGCTTCGGTTTTGTTCTTTTTTCTTTCTATTTCCAGTTCATTTTCCTGCTTTTATTCCTATCTGGAAAAAAGTTGAATTTTTCTGTTCTGTTGCCAATTGAATGAAGGAGGCAAAATTGTCCATTTGAACAGAGGAAAAAGAATAATTAAGAAGAAAACGAACAATTGAAAAGGGAACAAAAACACGATTGAAAGCGAAAAAGGCGATTGAAAACGGAATAAAAATGATTGAGTGAAAAATAAAATCGATTAAAATGAATCGCAGAAAATTAAAGTTCAATTCAATTCAATGTCTGGAGTCTTGCGGAGTTGAAGTGGTTGAAATTGTACAAAGTTCCTGAATGGAAGTGCAACTGTTGCACTTTAACTTGTGTGAAAGGAAGTGAATTCTAGGTAAAGAAGACGAAATGGACGATGTAAAAAGCGACCGAACTACGATCGATACGTGTGTTTCTCGGAAAATTTCCGGAAATTTCCTAAATAGTTAAGATTTCTTGAGAAATGCGTTGAATGTCAAACTTTGTTAAAACAAATGTTCCCCAAAACACAAATGATTCTCACCATGAATTTTTCATTCAATCATTTTAGACACCCGTTCATCGGCCATGAAACTGACTCAAATGTCCATTACTTTACTAATTAATATTAATTATTTATTTATCTATGGATAATTTATTTCATTTGTGAACAAAAAATTTAATGCATGAACACAATCGGGTTTCGTGTGTAGAAAAGTTGGCCCAACTTCAAACTCAACTTTATAATTTTCCGTAATGATTGTTGGTCGTAATCAATTCGTTGACAATGGAAACAGCCAAAATCGATAAAATCGCTGACTAAGCGTGATTTTACACGAATTTGATTTGATGGATGTTTTTATATGCTCGGCATGATCTCCCTCTCTCTTTCTCTCTCTCTCTCTCTCTCTTTTTCATTATCATAATTCATTATAGTTATTGCACAAAGATCGCTGTTAATATCAATTGAAATTGTGAGATTTTCACGGAGATTAGGTTCAAAATTATTCCATAAACACACACACTCTCACGTAACTAAATCCAATCCTGATTTCGCTCATTTTCATCGGTATTAATAATTGATTCGAAATAAAAATCTTCATATCAAAATCAGTGTTTATGTTTTATTTCGATGAAAAAAAAAACCGCATGGCCGCATGCGGTCGGTGGCGAGATAATCTCTTGGAATGTAATTATTTTTGGTCGAATGATTCATTGGCACTGATGCTAAGTGCTTTTGTACTCTTTTGCTTTGTTCTCTGTTTACGTTCTCAGTTTGAATTTAAGTGTGTTTGTTCTAATCTACTTCTTACATTTTGATATCATATCGGTTTTAAGAAACTAAATTTGACATGCGCGTAGCAGTGCTACGCCCTAGCACATATCTAAATTCTGAGTAAATAAAGAACACCAGATACAAAATGAAACGGCTACAATCTACAATCATTTTAACAGCATTTTTTTCATTTCATATTTTTTATTTTCGGGATTTTATATCATTGGAAAACTACCAAAAATGTGGTGAAATCATAAAAATGCTCAAGATAATTTTGGGTTTGAGAATGAAAAAAAGAACTGCGCCGTATCGACGACCATCTGTGTCACAGCAAAATGTGTGATTCATAAAATTAAAATGATTTAAAATAAAAAACAAAATCTTATCCTCTTGGTGAGTGGTTTTCATTTAATGCGTCGAAAGAAACAGCCACAAAATGGATAAGTTTCTGACGCGGAAACATTTGTTTCAATGTACGATATGAATATTCTGGGTAGATTTAGTAATTGAGAACTGGAAAATGAAGTCGATCGAATCGAAAAAGCAATAAAAAAAATTGCTTTCACCCGGAACATAGAGCTGTTATAACAGTTCAATTATAAATTGAGAGATGGACGCGATGCGGAGAGAGAGAGAGACAAAGGGATGGAGAGGGACGGAGGAGTGGTTCGTGTTCCATTTGTATCGATTTCCTAATTGGAATGGAATGAATGTATGGAAATTCAAGAGAACGATGAAAATTGATTGTGCTACACGGCCATTAATGATAAAAAGCGTTGACTCAACGTTTGTAAACAACATTTATTCCATATTTTATTGAACTGAATGAGAAAACGCAGAACAGAAAACAAAAAATCACACAGCCCCATTATATATCTCAATTATTTCATCAATCATAAATGTGAGGATGATTTATTTTCGAACACTTACTTCGATCACATTATAATTTTCTGAGCTTCTGGGACGAGAAAAAGGTAGCGCGTGATTAGGAGCGGATTTCGATGCAGCACAATTTCACGTTCGATTGTTCTAGTTTGAATGATGATCGGAAATGAATTTGGTTTGGAAATTAGTTTTTTTCGATGGGAAATTGATGATATTGGACGATGGAATTGACACATGTACAGACACTATGTCACAGCAATAGAGACGAAAAGAGAGCGATAGAGAGAGAAAGAGAGAGAAAAAGAGATCGAGAGAGAGAGAGAGAGATAGAACGATAGAACGAGAAAAAAGGGAGAGAAAGAAAGATGGAGAACAAAAATGATAGAAAAACCGAGAATATTCGAAGCCAAAGCAAATCCCAAAATATCGAGGCTAACTATCAAAAAATAACACATCCAATGGAATCATAAAATGACCAACCGCAGTACCATATTCCTTATATATCGAAGCCTTTATCTGGTTAACAACCCAAAAAATAAAACTTATTCACACTATGGTAATTTATTTTCGGACCAAGCGATAAAGTTATACAATTGCTCCAAATGGGTCACTAAACTGATAGCGCACGTATGAATAAAAACACGTCAGTGATATCATAAACCGTAATTCAACGGGCAATTCCAGAGCAGAAAATTCCACCACATGGAAAAAGAGACCCCAAAGGAGTAACTATCAAAAATACGACGTATAATAACGGCAGGAATAGATTTGAAAACAGACGAATTGAATTTTCTTTGGTCATTTAATAAAACCCATTTATCTTTTCATAAAAAATGGCTATGCCATGAAATCGATTTGCATTGACGTGGTCGGAAAATGTGTGCAATTCGAAAATCGATGCATCCGAGTAAACATGTCGTGTTTTAAACTTGGCACATAATCGTGGTCATATATATTGAGGTCATGCATTTATTAAAGTGACCGAGAGAGAGAGAGAGAGAGAGAGAGAGACATTCAATAACGGTTCAATTAAGTAATCTTTATCCAGTTTCATAAATCCGCGCTCGGTTTTGATGATGATGATTATATCATGGTCGCGGTCGGTCGGTCGCTCGGTATACATGATGTGGCAAAGTGTGGAAATGAACAAATGACTACTAAAACTCATTCGGAAATATACGTACCGTGCCATGCAAGATACGGATTTCGATTCGTTTCGATAAAGGATCTCTCCTCTAATTACGTATGAATTCAGTCAAGAGACACTAAATTCGATATCAATTTTGATATGATATAAGTATGTCCCGCTGTTGGTACATAAAGGGAAAAATGGAGAACCAGTCGCACAGAGGAGAAGAAAGAAAGAAAAAAAATGAAAATGAAAAAGAGAGCGAAAGAAAGCGATAGAGAGCGAGAAGAGAACCGAAAGAACAAGAACAGTTGGAGAGTGAAAAAAAGACAGATGGAAAGAGTTAGAACGAGCAACAAGAGTGTGTGAGATCGGTCAAAAGGACAGGAAGAAAGGATAGAAAAAGAGAATGAATGGTATAAACGAATGGATTGCATTGACTAGCATTTGATGAGTTGATTGTATAAAGTGACAAAAATAGCCGAATCGGTTGACACGTACGTGACACGCCGAACACTCATCAAGCTAAGCACAAAACAGAAAATAATCGTCTTGATTTCGAGCGATTAGGTTGTTTGCATCGAAATAAAATTTACAATCGCAATCATTGTCTTTATGTTTCTCTTTCAAAAAGCGAGAGTCGTTAAGCACCCAACCGACTCGACTCGTTAACTCGCGACAAAGAATAGATTCGATTCAGTAGATTATGTGTTTGTGTGTGTGTTTGACACAGAAGGAATGTCGAAATCGTTAGCAAGCGCCCAAATTCATCGAATATTTATCGTAAAATAGCATTCGTTCTAATTATAATCGAAATTGATTGTAACGAGAGATTTGTCGGATGATGAAGCGACAAACAGCGAATTTGCCATATATATAACATGTAGAACGCAATCACGGCGACGGCGAATAAATACGTCTGTATCATGCACGAAATAGTATAATGAAAGAGAGAGTGTGAACAAATAAATGAGTGAAGCGAGAGAGAGAGAGAAACACACTCACAAATATTGTTAATATTGCGCACCGCTTTTTTTTGATAATCAATTGGGAATGAATGTGTGCTCTTTTTTTTCCTCTGCTTATTCCTGCATATGCAAAGTCAACAACAGCAGCTGGTTGTTGCGCACGCGTGAGCGCGCATCATACTCACACATTATGCGCGTAAGTTCAAATGTTACATTGTCAGTGGCAAAGTCACCGAGATACCGAAATGATTACGAGCGCAATGTGTGTTTTAGTCAAGGCATCATTTTTCACATCTTTCTCTCTCTCTCTTTCTCACGCTAATTTGCTAAACAACACTCATCGAGACACACACAAACACCATAGGAAAAAATCGGTTGAAAGCTAAGCATTTGAGTAAGTTTGTTGACAGCAAGCGAATGTCATTGATAAATAACAAGCAGAGAGATGGAGAGAGGAGGAGAGCGACAGAGCGAGAGAAAAAGAAAGCGCGAAAGAGAGGAGAAAGAGTGCGAGAGAAAAAGAGAGGAGAAAGAGCAAGAGAGTGATGTGGAAAAAAAACACAGAGAGATGTGGTTTGGTATAATGGAATCAGCCGCAAAAAGATGATTTGAGGCCACTTTTTCCTCTTCAAAATCGTTCAAGTTGGTTTCATGCGATTAGATATGATATATTTGTTGTTGTGGCTACAGCGACAAATGTCAGTGATAATATCGGGTCGTGCCTACAGTTGTACTATCAACCACATTGAGTTAGAGCGATATTCATGTCTTTTGAGTCGGTTTATTCTAAGAATGGCACACTCTGGGTGTGTGTAAGTATGAATTGAAAATATGACTTTAACTTACCGGAAAACAATTTTCGGTGTCAACCATTTTAGTGGTGAATTTCAGTATGCCCATATCGGTGCTAAACCGAATCGGTGTGCTAATCACTTCATAGTCTGTTTGCACGGTGAATTTTCCATCAAATGAACCGACCGTATTTGATGTGACACCAATTTGAAAGACAATCCATTCGCCGGGTTTGACAATGTTACAAAATTTTAAGCCTTTCATTGTGAGCTTACTGCAACCGGGCACCGTAATACCGATATGTGCTGCACTTGAGATCGTCCCCTTCCAATTGTGTATATTTATTGGAATTGGATTGTGATTGACTAGCGCTAGTTGAATTTGTGATAGCGTTGATAATGGTAAAATGCCAAAATTTATGCTTTGCTCATCGATCCCGTCATCGCCATCGTCATCGCTTATCATTGCATCAATGCCGGTGTTGCTTTGCTGCTGCGGCTGATGCTCAGTAACGGGTAACAAACGTTTCAATAAACCATTAAAACTAAACAATTCAATGTCGTACACACTGACATTCGTATGCAAATGAAATGATCGTGTGACTGAATGCTGTGCGGCCGCTGGCTGTTGAACTATTTGAAAGATGGTGGATTCTTCGCCGGGCGCCAACAATTTCGATTTGAATTTATCCGCACGGAAATAGATGAGGGTGTCGGGTGACATTGTCAAATTTGTGATGGCCAATACAACGTCAAAGTTATTTTTTATACGAAAATCCCGTACAATTTGTGTGGATGATGGCATTGTGGTGGAATTATCGTCCACTGTCGTTGTCGTCGTGGTCGTCGTCGTCGTTGCTGTTGTTGCACCAGCTGACTGATGATGAAATCGCGTAAGTGATTCATTGTACTGTATTGAACCGCGTAAAATACCACCAACAAATGGCACACGATATTGAAACCGTTTGGCAGATGTACTGCTGCCCGGTGTGCTGGAATCGGTTTTTCGTCGCGTTTGAATGACAATATTACCGCGAAAAAATTGCTCGGCCGATATGCGTGACCAATTCACGGTCGCTGTCATTGTGTGATATGTTTCGTTGACCGTTTCACGTACCGTATTCAATTCAAGTGTGATACCATTTCGCACATTCTCTTCGGCTTCCACCGAATATGCGGTAATCTCATAGGGTTCATTGCCGGAATTGAGTAAACGAAATGTTACACTTTTCGGTCGATCATTTGTACCGCTTAGGCCAAAATTGAGAAACGGTATACTGGCATAGATGCCATACTCTTTGAATATTTCCACTTCAATTGGCAACACAATGACGGCTTTTTCGAGGGCGGCATTTTTCCGTGCTGACACTTTGATGCGAATATATGCCGTGGAATTGCCGACATGTGTCGCTGTGAATCGTACACGAATCACCGGTCTCGAACAATGTGGTGGAATTTCCCACAGCGTTTGTGATCGTTCTGTATTACTACTGCTACCGCTGTTTGTTGTACCACCACCACTTGCTGAACTATGGCTCGTTGAATGTGCACTGATCGCACCGCTTGGATCATCATCACTCGTTGGCAATTCCAATTGAAACTGCCCACCACTCGAATACACTTCGACTATTTGCAACGGCGTGTCGTACGGATTGTACATATGAATTTCGGGCATAAGGGTTGCATTCATGGGTGCTTTTAAGCCAACCAATGGACTTAACCGATACGGACATTCAACACCTTTACCCTTTACCTCGTAGTTAAGCACACCGAACGATGTGTGTATGATGAGATGAGCTTGAATGATGGCCTGTTGCCGTGGCAAAAACACTACATTAAATGTGGTATTACCCATCGGTGGCACTAGATTCTCTTCAAAAAATGAACTATAAAAATCCGATACCGAACCCGATATTGAACCAAGGTATACACTACGATTTGCATGTCGATTGAATATTGTGACAACTTTGTTCGCCGTTTCGCCCACCGATAACTCATCAAAATGCAAAAAATTCGGCTCGAATGTCAATTGTGACAAATCATTATTGTTATTATCGACCGTTGTCATCATAATTGAGTCGATACTTATGTGTGCCGCATGTAATTCATAATTGCTTTCAGCTGCTGCCGATGATGATGATGATGATGATGAAGACGTTGCCGAAACGGCAGATGCAAACGCAAATGCACCATGCCGTACATTCAGTGTGCATGGTATCAGCGTCACCAAAACAATTATAAACAACTGGTAGAACAATGAGCTAACGTGTCGTAACAGGGCAACCATCGGTATGCTCATGTTGTTGGTCGTCATTCGTGTTGATGTTGTTGTTTTTGTTGTTGATGTCATTTGGTTTGGCCACAATTTCAACATTTTGCTCGGTTTTTCTTGCGAAAAATCGTTTACGCATCTAATGCATGTCGCACATGTAAAAAAAAATCAGCAACAATTTTTAATTTAGTTCGGCATTCAGAAGCCGCTTGTTGTTGTTGTTGTTGTTTTTGGTTTCGGCGTGTCTTAGTTTTTGAATCAAAACTACGTTTTATTTCTTCGTATTCCTCTCTTTTTTGTGTTTCTCCCTTTCTTTCTTGCCGTTTTAAATTCGTTTTGTTTTCTTCTTTTTTTTGGTCGCAAACGCCACTCAACGTCGGCTTTCTTTGGTATACTCGTAAAAAAAAAATCACTCTAAACCTAGAACTGTTCTCCGTGTTTATGTCGGATTGTTTTCTTTTTTGTTTTCTTCTTTTATTCCCTTCGTCGCTGTCACTTCTGCCGATTTGTTGCACATTCACATGCGGTCTCTTGTCGTCGCCGAATTATGTAAAAAAAAAATGACGAAGAACGAACAGTTTTCGCATATACACCGGAATCGAAACGTTCAACTGGAACTTTTCTGGTTTTTTTTCTTCTTGCTTCAAATTTCACTCTATTTATTACAACACACATGGACTGCTGTATTTTTTCGTTCTTTTTTTTAAATTTCAAGCAACCAAAAATTGAATCACAGTGCAATTGATTTCACTTTTGCCCAAGAAATTTCTTTATTTTCAATGTTCGGTGTTTGTTTTTGTTTCATTTGCGAAATGCTTGATGAAATATTTGTGTTTTTATTTATTCTCGTCGTCTTCATCGTCGTCGTCTTCTTCGTTCTTTTATTTTCTTCTCTCTCGTAAAAACAGAAGTGTTTCGTTTTTAAATTCCTTTCATCGAAAATAAAAAAAATGTATTTCAGGAGAAAAAAACACACAACAAAATTTCGTTTCACACTTTTTCCCACACTGTTGCTTTTCCACACTCGCGCGCGCTCAGAGAGAGTGCTGTTTCTGTTGCTCTTCGAATATGTTGGGTGCTGTTGTCGCTTTGAACGTCACTTGCATTCTAAATGGTTCTCATGTGTGTTTGTTTTGTCAATTCACCAAAAAAAAAAAAACGATATGTCGTTCGCCTGCTTACTCGATTCGTTCGCCGACTGGCTGGCTGGCGTTCGTTCTCTCTCTTTGTCTCCCGTACACACAGTCCGTGTAGCATGTATCACTCACTCGTTCACTCGTTCTGTGTACGAGTGTGTGTATGTGTGAAAAACGCCGAATGACACCAGCGAATCCGAGAAAGAAAAGAAGAGAGACACGAAATTAACAAAACGATTAAATAAAATCGGCGATTGAAATTTAAAACCAAAATAATAACAAATCAAGCAAATCCACACACTCACACACAGACACAGTCGGATCAAGCGGCAGAGTCAGATATTTGCCAATGCAAGTGAGAAATGTGACTGAAAAAAAAACCAAAACATTCACACGCACCGACACACACACACACACACACGATTGCACATCATTTGGATTTTGGGTCAATGATTCTAAATGCAGCGATAAATTGGCGCATTTCAAGCAATCGATGTGTCGATTTGCACATTTTCTCAAAATTGTTGTGGCGAGAACAAATGACGGCGGCGACGGCGATGACAACGACGGCGGTAGCGATCGAGGTGGCTGCAACAGCACCAAAGGTGCTTTTTAAGTAATATTTTCAGCAATAAGTTTTTTTTATCGGTGCCGACACCGAAAAAACACAACAACAACAGTACATCTATGGTGTGCGCGGGATGCGCGCGAGCGCGTCATAATCAATTGGTCAAAACGTGCCTATGAAAATGGTTCGGCTAGCCGATTTTCAAACCCACTCTCGTTGGCCCATTCGAGTTCGCAAACATTCGACAAAATTATCATCAACACAGTAATTGATAGCAAAATATATAAATTACGTTGGATTTGTCTGTCGCAATCTTTACACCGTGTTTGTTTCATACGTTCGCACCGAACGGCCCACTGTCTCTCTATCTATCGCCTTCAATTCAAGAAAATGCGAAACGATCTAATGTGTATGTGAATTTGCGTAAGGTTTTTTTTGTTTTGCTTTTTGTTTTGCTTTTGACACAACTGCCTGTCAATCGAAATCCTCTGATTGTGTCCTCTTATGCACACGCACACCGCACAATACTGCAGATGCCTACCTTTTTGGAGATTTCTATTGTTCTGCTCGGATTCTAATTCTTTTTTCTTTTCTTTTTTATTGGTCGTCACTTTGATTTTTTCTCGTATTCTTTTCATTCACACACGAGATGCCTTCAGCTGGTCGACAGATCCTGCGTGCATTTGTAACGAGAATAACGCGTTCTTTTCCCTTCTTCGTTCCTTTTTTACTTCGGTCCTCGCACAACACCACCAAAACACGCTTAATTTCCGATTTATTTCCCTATTTCACTGAGACTTTACACCAAATCACGAAATTTTACTCAAAACACACTGCAATCTTTTTTGTTGCTATTGCTCGCTATTAGAATTATATCGATGCGCGCTATTTATTTAGTCTCGTTTTAGAAGTTGTGACTTTTTTTTAAATTGTCGTGTGATTTTACGTCAATTCGTTTGTGTCTTGAATATGATGATATTTCGCTCATTTCGACATTGAATTTTCTCTCTTTCTTTGACAGACACAGAACGACACTGTGTGTTGTGACTATTGTTATTGGTGTGTATGGAAGTATGTGCTGATGTGAGAGCGTGCACGATGCATAGGGTGACACACGGAGTTGAATCTTGTGAGGTTTTTTTTCGGTTGTCGCGGTGTTTCGTTCATGACATTTTGAACCGCGCTATCACTACTGAAACGAAACAGCTAAACGCACGGCAAGGGGAAGTAACATCGAATTTAGAAGACTCTTTTTACTGTGATCTGATGGGGCTTTTGATTCTATTTCTATGCTTTTGTTACTAATTTACTTTTTTTTGCTTCGTTGCCTTTGCTGCTCGGATTTTGTCCGTTCTGCTCCTTTTTTTTGCCCCTTTTCTTGATAATTTTACCAGATTCTACTATTTTTGCTCTCTTCTCGCTCTCTTTTTGCTCTTTTTTGCTCTTTTTTGCTCTTTTTTTTACTCTATTTTTGCTTTTCTTGTGGTAATTTTACTGAATTCTACTGTTTTTGCTCTCCTTTTGCAAGATTTTTCTATTTTTTTTTGATGAATTTTAATTTTTTCTACTGCTTTTTGTGGCTCTTTTTCAACTGGAAAATGTCCGTTTGTTAAAAAGTTGACTGGAATTTATGTAAATTACAAATTTAAAGTATACTGGTTCAAAGTATCCAAAGGCTACTACACAAGCACTTTATCGCGATATGATTTTACTCAAAGAAGTTAGAAAAAAGTCGATTAAGCTCTCTTTAAAGACAAAACGAGAAGGAGATAAACATTCCTCAACTATTTATGAAAAATTTTGATTCAGATGGGCTATGGCTCTATGTATATGGGCTCTATGAGCCTTTAGCTCCTGTCTAAACTGAAAATTACCTCGGTTGACGAAGAAAAAAAATCCAATATTGGATAAAATAGATTTTATATAAAAAAAATCACATCCTTTTTGAAAAACCGATCAAATACCTTCAAACAAAAATGTCCAAAAAATTAAATCCTCCTCACATTTCATTCACCGTATCCCAATTTCTTGATAGTCACCCTATTGGCAGCCGTGTACGTGTATGTCAAAAATGGTATTCCGTGTCTGTGTGTGTATTGGTTGGCAGAGAGCGAATGAAAAAACAAAATTGTGTGTGGCTCTGTGTGTGTGTGTTTGGTTCTTTTGACTGATATGTAATCACATTCAATTGTGAATTGGTCGAGAATTGCATGCTGATTGTTTTGAAATGTTAGCCAATAGTCGTGATAGATAGATTTGATTGAACAATCGACAAAACAACAAGGCGGAAACATTGGTTTTTGTTTTGGAATATTCCCATCGCATGTAAATATCGACTGTGTTATTACAGTATTTTCCATTTATTTTTCCATTGCTGTCAGTTCTCACACAAGTGACAAGAATCGAACCGTAATTCCACGCACATTTTCCCAATAACACACGGCATTTCCGAAAAGAGAGCAGCGAGAGCGCATTGTGAATTTTATGTGTGACGTGCTTATAGTTGACTGGTGTACTTGATGTTTGGCTTCCAATGGCCAACGGCATGAAAATCCACATTTCAATGTCATTTTCAAGTGAACGATGCAGAAGCGGAAAATATCGTTCATGATGACAATCTTGCTCTCTCTCTCTCTTTCTCTCATTCTCTTTGGATGTGAACGCCGGTGTAGTTGTAGTGGTGCATTGACATTTCGTCTTGTGATGCATTTTGAATTGTTGTAGTTGTTTTACCAATATTTTTTCCCTCTCAAATTTTTTCGGTTTTCGCGCGATGACGACGTTCATCGATTTAAACGAACGTTTTCATTTATCCAAGGTACATCAGCTGGCTCATTTTTATGGAGAGGATTCATATGCACTAATTACTTGATTACATTCCATTTTTTGAGTGCTGTTCAAGTGCAAACAACATATTCATTTCATCGGTTTGACCAATTTTCGAGGTTAGGTTCAAAGTCATCTGGATTCTAGTTAGACAGTTCAGACGGAGATTCGAAACTTTGGGAATGTTCTTTCGAAAAATGAGGCTAATGAAATGGATTTTTTTTTTACTTAGATGGAAAAAGCATGTTTTCCATGCATTTGAATAGAATACAAAAAAAACACCTTTCCAAAAATGAAGAAAAGCCCATAAAAATGACATATTTTCCTTAAGTTCCAACATAGTTCACAGTGTGAACTTCAAACAATTGAAAATAATCGTTATTATTTCAAAAAATCATGAACATTTTCAACACATTCAAAATTCGCAACGAAATTTTGCCATTGAATTTTAACCGATTTTTATTTTCATCCATGAAAGAATGGTAAAAAAGGAACTCGTTGCAATTTCCAACTGAATTCCATTGATAAACGAATGCGTTCAGTTTCCGTGCATTTCGGTACATAGTTTCGGAGCTCACATGACCAAATGTCACAATGTCAGTTCCACTTTCATCTATTTTCCAAATGTCAAAAAGTGTGTTGACGTTTCTGGTGTGTGTGTGTTTTCAACACACTATTCTGTACACGTTTAAACAATCTGTCCGATTACTTTCTAATTTTTATTTTTAACATCACCCACCAGCAACAACTTGTAGTTTATCTAACATTCTTGTGTGATTTTCATTTTGTTGTAGATAGAAATTAGATTTTCGACGGAAAATAAAGTAAATTCCAGATTTTTAGTTTAAAAAAAGTAGCAAAAGAGAAGAAAAAAAAAATGGTTGATTCAAGTACACGAAAAACACTTAGTGGCATTCCATTGTTGCAAACAAAAGCTGGCCCACGCGATAAGGAACTGTGGGTGCAACGATTGAAAGAAGAATATCAAGCTCTTATCAAGGTATAAACAAATGACAATTAAAATGCGCCTGATCTTTTTTTCCTTAATCGATATTTTGTTCGCTTTCGTTCACAGTACGTTCAAAACAACAAAGACTCGGGCACCGATTGGTTCCGTTTGGAATCAAACAAAGAAGGCACTAAATGGTTTGGTACATGCTGGTGCATGCACAACTTACTCAAGTACGAGTTTAAGGTTGAATTTGATGTAAGTCGCTCGGGGCTCTTTTTTAGTTTCTGTGTCGACACACACAAATGGCAAGAGTACACACTGTATGAAGAACAGACAAAAACAAAAATGATCAAGATTCAAGAACACAAATTTGGATGGTGTTTCCTCTGGACCAGAGAAATATCTTTTTTTACATAAGTTTTCATTGGTTTCTTGATTCATTTTTAATTTTGGATTTTGATGGAAATGTATGTGAAATTTTTTCATTAGATGATGAACTAATGAAATAATCCATTTGCAGATTCCGATAACGTATCCGGCAACGGCGCCCGAAATCGCACTACCCGAACTGGACGGTAAAACAGCAAAAATGTATCGAGGTGGAAAAATTTGTCTCACCGACCATTTCAAGCCGTTGTGGGCTAGAAACGTGCCTAAATTCGGAATCGCACATGCAATGGCCTTGGGTGTATGTATCCCATTTCTGCTTTTTTTTTGCTTTCGACTTACTTTTTTGGGTTTTTTGCAAGTAATACTTGCTTGTATTGCAATTTTCTTCAATTCTACGATTTAAATCAAAAATGTTTGTGTCTACGATTCAAATATCGACAAATCAAATTTTTTCTAGTTGATTTATCATTTTATTTAGTTTTTTTTTTCTTACTTCTCATTCAATTTTCATTTTTTTTCTGTTGATTTTTTGGCTTGCTTTTTTTATTTTCCTCTTTCCAACTCTTTTTTGCCTTTTTAAATCGAATTTTCATTTTTTTTTTTCTAAGAATTTTTTCCTTTCTACTCAATTTGAGATGAACTCTTTTTTTCATATTTAAATATATTTTCAAATCTCATCCCTTTGAAAAGCCCAAAATGAAGCATCAAAATAGCATGTGATGAATTCATAAATTTTTGTTTCAATTTTTTTTTTCCACAGTTGTCTCCATGGATGGCGGTTGAAATTCCAGATTTGATAGAAAAGGGTATCGTTACGTACAAAGAGCAAAACGAATCCTAATGAGTCACCGAACAAATCAACGCTTCTGATTTTTATTGGCATCATCCGATTTTGGAATATTTATTAATTTAAGACACGTTTTCCTCTTTTTGTTATTTCTGTACATTTTCCATAGCAAATTTTAAATAATAAAATTGTTGTTGTCAACCTTTATTTTTCTTTCGATGCAATCGAATTGAATGGTCTTTTTGGTACATTTAATTTGACGGTTTTCAAATGGAAATACAAATATAAGGCAATTTGTTGATCAATGGAGCAATGTCAACACATTGATAGCAATACCACAAGAATATATATGACGAATAGAATTTTATTCTCGCTACAATCCAGAATAGTCAACATATTTATTTTCATTTTATTTCTATTTCTTGCTATTTGTAAACATAAATGTATCACACAAGGAATCATCGATGATTATTTGTCATAATGACTTTTTAAACTGCCATTTTTGTAATTATTTTATTGCAAAATTTGTTTCTACTGAAAATCAATTCAACGGAGACTTTTTCCTTTTTATTTTGCAAGAAGAAAAGCTATTGAATAGACCTACAAAATGACGTATAGGACATCGCATAGTCAAATGGCACCATCTAGCATAAAAAACCGGTTATTAATTCACACACCCAATAGTTACAGCAATTCCATTCAATGATTAAAATCAATGTTTGAATAGATAAAAACACATGTTGTCAAATTGAGGAAAACAGCGCTCAACTTTGTTGAGCAAATAATTGCTTATTGGATTGAGATACGTTAGTGGTTCGTGGATTCAAAGAATACACCGATTACGTCAAAATTGTCGAAACTAAACGAGTTTCACAACATTGTTCCTGCGAAGGTAAATTTCTATAAATATCGCTAGATTTGTATCAGACGCCGGTTACTTTGCATTTGAAATTCGTGTGATAATGAGTAAATTGGCGTTTGTATTTTTCGTGTGCGCTGTTTTGATACAGGTATGAATAGAAAAACTAGTCTTAAAAATATTAATGAAATTTTTTGTTGGCATTTTTTATCAATTTTGCGAACCGGGGCCATTCACATTTACCTGCATTTTTTAAAACAATTTTTTGGTTTTCAAAAAAAGCAACAAATTCAAGCCGACATCGCCCTGTCAAAATATCAGCCAAATGTCAGAGATTTTTATTCCAATTTGCAAGGAATTACATCAAAAGTGAATTCATTGCAAATCGTTGAGCCAAAAATTTGTAATCGATTACGAGATCGTCTTCAGGAGAATTTCCGAAGATACACCGGCTATGTGAATGAGGATAAAAAGAAAATTGAAGATACCATTCAAAATAGCAAGTCGGACAAAGTAAAGGATGCGACGGATGTTGTAAAAACCGCATACGACACTGTTTCAAATGAATTCAAAAAAATTTCCGATGAAGCCTCAACGATGATTTCGGACAAATGCAAGCAACTTGGATCGGGTGACACACTGAAAACAATCAGTCAGGCAGTAGCTGATCTTAAGGTGAAACAAAAAGAAGCAGCTAAACAATTGGCCGATCTACCAACCAAATATACCGCAACAATGCAGTCCCTTCAAGCGCCCATCGAAGCCATCAATGTTAAAGTGTAACCGAATAATGTTGGGCATGATAGAAGAAAAATTCATTTTTTTATTAATGCAATTTTTACAATATTGATTGAATCTCAGAAAAGAGATTGTGAATAAAGAACAAAAATGACAGAAATAAGTGTTTTTTTTTTTTAATTTTAGTTTATTGGAAAGGGAAGAAAAATGAATCATGTTTCTTTTGCTTTGAAGAAGTCGCTCCGGTTTGAAATATAAAAAATTTCCTTTTTACCATGTGTTCTATACGGTTAGCCGTACAACCGATCGCATTACTTCATGTTTCATTCTGATTCGCTCAGAAATTTCTCTTTTTTTGTCACTTATATTTTTGGTCTTCGTCGAGTGGATGTTATTTTCATGAATGAAGGGTAGCTAAAAACCGTACACGTACACTTGTACGCCATACTATTACGGCGTTGCCATACTACTGTATCCATAGCTACACTGAAATTCCAGGATTGACTGAGCACCATTGGCTTGAGAACAATAAAAACTATTAATTGTCCAATCAATCAGCGGAGTTTATGTTGAAGACCAAATAAAGTTCACTGAAATCAAATGACTCAAGAGCCAAATAAAAAAAATACTGATTTGCAACTAGTGGTTTCATTGCGTATATCACAATATCACAGTTTTACTCCACCTCGAAGCAATGTCATGGACTTCTTTTTGTTATATGTCCAGGATATAATGTCCCATGTTTCGTTTTTGGTACCAAGGATTTGGTACTATTTTGATTTTTGCGATTTACTAAATCCGATTTCTGAATCGTACATGAATTTGGTGAAATTCGTTTAAATTCGGAAAAAATTAACATAGAATCGTTGTTCGAGTTATTTGTAGTACGAATTTCGTAATAATCTGGTTTGTTCAATTAGAATAAATAAGGGGCCAATACACATGATGGCATTTGTGTCACTTTGCAAAAGAGGAGGAGAAGAAAGAGGGATGTTCGACGAGGGATGAAAATCCTTTTTTCAGCTGAAGGATCGCAGCGACTTTAGGAATATTTCCTTAAAAAAGGTACATAAAATCACACATACTCGTATCGGCTCAGTTTTTACAAACAAAACCAAGATCTATTTTTTGTACGCAATTCAAGCCAATTTCTATCATTATGATAACGACGAATTTTTCCGTTCCACAATGCCGCAGAATATTAAGTAAATAATGTAAAACAATCGGGAAGTTGTTCGTACCATTTTGTACAAATAACAAATTCTCTCTGTTGACAAATGAGACACGCGCGGTTATTGTGGTAATTTCTCGTTAAAATGCGAATGTTTACATTGTGTACAAACATGGCGTTTGTCGCGGAAACATTTCACTATAAGGCTCTGTGCATATATAAAAACATGGAAGTTGGAATCTGGCAGCTGCCAGTCGATTTTAGTTCATTCAAAGGAAAACATGAAGTGGTTTATTGTCGTTTTTATTTGCATCAGCCTCGAGGTAAGAGAATTGAATCGTTTTTTTTTCGAGTAAGTTATATTTTATGTTAGAATCTCAGAAATGAACTTTTTTTTAATTTGAGGTTAAAGGAAGATCAGAGAAGATTCTTTATTTGAACCAGGAATTCCTTGAAAAAAAAAATTTAAAAATCTGCATCAGAGAATTTATTTCAGAAAATTTCAAGATCTCTCATTATAAAATTTCAAATTTTACAATTAATTGCTATTTTCCACATTTTTGCCTTTAAAATTTTTTCAACATTTTCTGCTTTGTTTTTTATACATAGCACGAAATGCTAGTAGAATCGAAACGTTCGATTCCCTGTAGCAGTTTCAGTCGCAATTTGAATGATTACACTATCAATTATCAGCCATTGTTGGATGAGTGCACTGCGCAGGCATTTAAAGAGCCAGCCGCCGTTGAAAAGCTCAAGAAACACAATAGCGATGTGTACAAAGTAGTGTCCGACATGAGACAATATACAGCATACAATCGACGCCTCTTGAATTCTAATCGGTTCAGTCGACAAGAACAGACAAAAATATTGCAAAATCAATTTGCAGCGATAAAAAAAGCCAACGAAGAATACAAAACTACGCAACAAACATCGTTGACGCAAATCGATCAGTTGGTAGCACAATTAGATCCAACGCAAGCCATGCAAACGTGCCGAGATACAATTCTAACGGCAAATATCCAAATGACTGTAACGGCCAACGAATTGATCGATCTTCCGAATCAACTGTGTGACCAGTTCAAAGCAACACTCGATACATTCAACACGGCATTGGGAAAGGCATACACTTTGATCGGTGCACCTATTCCGGCATAAAAAAATACATGGATATTGATGAATTACAACGAAAATTTTACTTCACCTAATTACACTTCAATCAGTTGCATTGATTCAATTCAGGGGAACTAAGGTCGATAAAATATAAACAAAATAAAAATAAATGCCGAATTTGTTCAGAAGAATAAAAAAAACGAGTCTTTTTGTGATTAAAAAAAAACAATCTTTTCAATATTCTTGATTTTTCAAGTTCATTTTTCTGCATTTGATGGTCTTTTTTAGAGTCATTGGGATTATCTTCTCCAAATTTAAATTTTCTCGCTTATTTTTTTTTGTATTTCACTCGGTAATTTTATTTTCTATTCTATTTTGCTCGAAAATGTGAATAGAAATGTGTGTAAGTACTAGAAAAAAGAGGAAATAGGACTTTTTTTTAGCCTAATTTGTACGGAAGACATAGAGGAAAAACAAGGAATGATCTACAAACAATTCGTTGTGTTTTATTCAACATCAATTATCTACAAAATTAACATTTATTTTTGGAGTTTTATTTGCAGAGGAAATTCATTTCAAAGAAATCAACAAATTCAAATTCTTCAAATTGAGAGTCTCAATTTGAGACTAGTTCAAGCTTATAAAACTTTTTGAAATTAAATTGAAACTATGAAACCATTCAACGATTCACGCCTTGAAAAAAATATCGACTAAGATCTGGATAAAAAATTGCAAAGAGATCAAATGATAATCAACTGGTGTGTTTCATCGAGTCTAGCCAGTCTTTTTTCCCCTTTTGATCGACGAACTTTAATAAGTTTCGCAAATCAGCTGACGAGATTTCGGATGTCAGTTTCATTTGATACTCCAACGCGTATATCGGCAAGCTAATTCGAATTACCATATATTTTGTTACGATAACTTTTTTCGTCACTTCATCTTCTTTCGTCTTCCATGTGAATTGGATACAATCACCACCATCATCCCATCCATAGCTTTTTACATTACATTTGTCACGAATGTCGCCAAATTCCAGGGCTTTAAAATTGTTCAATTTTGCGGCGGCGGAGGAGAATATTGGCTTCTGGCGTTTATTACCTGCTTTTGCGAGTTTTTTCTACAAGAAATGTAAGTATTTAATAACTGTCTATTTAAATCCATTGCAAAAAAGCACTTACATTCTTGAAACTGAACGCCTGGGACGTATAGCATCGAAATTCATCCACAGTCATCTTTTCAAGCAGATTTGACACCTCTTGCAATTCAGCTGGTGCAAGGTCACGAGCGAGATTTGATTCATAGGTCAGGCCATTTTCGAATTTGATCCGAAGTGTACTTGTCGACGACCATATTTCAACCATTTTGTAATCCTTTGTCTGCAACATTGTTTTTATCTCGTCTTTGCCGGCTTCATGTGTTTTTGCCACATTTTCACAGCTTTCCACATTCGAAGCATCACTTAGGCTGACTGGTTCAATCACATCAAAATCGTGTGCCATTGTATCAATGTCCAATGTTAGGGCCTAAGAAGAATCAAAATCAGAGATTATTCGAACTCTTTGCAATTTTCATTTCGTTTCAGCAGACACTCACTACGTTTGGTTCTATTGATTCAAGTGATGACGTTCCTTGTCTTAGCCGTTTAGGTTCGGGCAACTCACAGCTGTTTTGACTTTCATTTTTTCTTTTCGACAGCGGCTTACTCACCGTCTGTGGAGTAGATTTTTATTAAATATTCACTCGATTTTGCTGTTTTTCTCTTTCATTCGGTCATGATGGTCAAAAACTGCCAAAAACTACCTAAAATTACCTACCTTATCTCCCAAATGATCATTTCCAAAAGCACCTGTGCCCTGATCAAAACTTCCACTTTTTTCGGATATTGTATTTTCATCTTTTGTGTCATTGGGCACAATAGAGTCAATCTGAACAGCGTAGGTTGTACTTTCCGACTTGTCCGTCACAGTAGATGTGAGGCTCCCCTCTGTCACACTGTTGACCAATACCTGTTGATCAATTCAAAATCAGCATTTGGTTTTCCATAATACAAAAAAACAATCAATAGTGAGTGTAAATGGCTTTCATGAAGGAATCATCTTACGGGATCAATGCTCATGATTTTTTATCGAATGGCTCTTTTTAGCGAAACACTTTTTTGTAATTGAAATAGTAAACAATTTCGAGTCAAAAACCAAATCCAACACACAATTACAATTTTCGAAGTCTTATGAAAAAAGAAAATTGTTTCAAAATCTGAATTTCATTTAAAAAAACACTAATCCAACCAATTTTTATCACAACATTTGAACAAATCTACTGTCTCAAACAAAAAACAACAGAAGAACTACGAAAAAACCACGAAGAAAAAGCAAATGTGTCCATTTAGACAAGGTTCACTGCAATAAAATCATGTGTTTGTTGATTCACAAAAGAAATGTCAACCGATGGTGTCAATCGTCGGTGGTGTTCAATAGATCCGTTATAAAATTCGAATGAGCATTGATGAGCAATAGGTTACACACAAATACAATCACAGCCGGCACAACAACATCGACTGCAGTATTTATACACATAAAACACTATACGCTGTGCCGTCAGCTACTAAAGCTGAACAGAATGAGACGAAGCATTCAACAAGAAAGAAATGAAAAGAATGAACGAATATTTCTGTAGCTATGCCATAAACAACAAGCGCATTGTGTTTGTGTAATGAAATTGGACTGGTGTAAATATGGTGTGACTCTCACATTTTTTCCCATTTTTCGGTTCTGGTCATGTTTTTATTTCAGAGCAGAGTGAGAAAACCAGTATCATCGTTGAAGTGAGACAAAAATGGGAAACGCTTGAAAACGTCTACTTTCGATATGAACAATGCTCAACAAATATATTCGTCGAAAATGGATCAGCTTCAGAAAATCCAAAACAAACTTATCATTTTTTTCACATTAGAATATTGAACTCGGAAAATATCCCATTCAAAAAAATTCATACACCGATCTGAATTTCCGATCAAAAAGTTCAATAGTATTATATCATTCTCCAAACAGATGGCGCCACATGTATTTACAACGCCTCGGAATTTTTTTACCCATTCATTCCATATACTGACTGAAGTTTTGTTATCTGAATGTCAAAAAGTCTCGTGTTCTTATAGCACGCAATATTTTCGGTGTGAGCAGAGCCGGTTTCATCATAAATAGACACAACAAAACAGATTTTCTTCGCTAGCCGGATTATTCGATAATTAAAGTAATTGATTTGTAGTTTTTCCTCTCCATATGTGTCGGTTTATTTGTAAAGTGTGTATAATTGTCTAATTGTTAATATCTTCTTTTTTTTCTGCCGAAATTACAGAGAGTGAGAGACAATGGCTCAAAGTAAATTGAACGATTTGGCTGGTAAATTTGGCAAAGGTGGTCCACCTGGATTGGGAATTGGATTGAAATTGTTGGGTGTTGCTGGTGCATTGGCCTATGGTGTTACACAATCCGTTTATACAGGTAAAAAAAAAGAAAATGTTTCCAATTTCCATGCAATTTGCTCAGTGCCAATGGTCATTGCCCAATATAGTAGTGAGCATGTTACAAGAGGAAAAATTACACCATAACCTCACTTTTGATAAATATTGAGACGGAATTTCACAATAAATCCACTCGATTGCGAGATAATAGAAACGCTTTGTGATTGACTTCGTCTCAGTATTTCAGTGTGGACAGTATTTATTGCGTAGACAATAATTAATTTCGACAGAAAAGAGCGTTAGCATATTGTGACAAGAATGTTCGAGATGTGTTTTTTCATGTTTGCTCCATACAAGGGGATTATATAATGCACCGACTATCCATAAAGTGAGCCAAGCCCCTGATGAGAGTATGCAAACAATGTTTTGTGCTTGGCTTTGGATGTGGCGAATTTTTTTGGAATTTTTCTGTTTAGATTTTTCTTATGGAATTCTCGTTCTGGGGAAGGTTTTTTCAGAGGAAAAAAGAAGACGAGTTTTTCTGTTCTTGGACAAATTTGGATATCTTTCACTTGAACTCGAATTTGAATATCTTTCACCTCCAGCCATCTGAGAATCTTTCAACAAATCGAATTTATTCCCATACAAAAAACAACCCGAAGTTCAATTTGACGTGTTCAACTTTCGCAAACTTGATTTTTTTTTCTCTTTTTTTTCCTTTTTCATGTTCATTCAGTTGAGGGTGGTCATCGTGCAATCATCTTTAACCGTGTTGGCGGCGTTCAAAATGATATCTACCCCGAAGGTCTACATTTCCGCATTCCATGGTTCCAATATCCAATTATCTATGACATTCGTTCACGGCCACGTAAAATCTCATCGCCCAGCGGTTCCAAAGATTTGCAAATGGTAAACATTTCGCTGCGTGTACTATCACGGCCAGATGCTCGCAATTTGCCAACAATGTACCGTCAATTGGGTTTGGACTATGACGAAAAGGTGTTGCCATCCATTTGCAATGAAGTACTGAAAAGTGTTGTAGCCAAATTCAATGCATCACAATTAATTACACAACGTCAACAGGTGAGTCATTGATACGAATCAATTATAACTTATCGAAATAGGAAAAACGATAGAAAGAATAGGAATAGAAGAATTTTTTTTGAATAATAATAAATTTAGAAATGGCAAGCGGTTTAATAATAATAAACATTCTTAACATTTTACGCCTTCATTGCCAAATTTAATCAATTGAATCAGCTAACACAGTCCAACAAAATTCGGGTCATGGAAAAATAACGCACAATGGCATATCAGACATGAAAGTATTCCTATAGA